CCGCTCGCGTAGTAGTACCTACCTACTAGCATAAAAACTTGTTGTATTATATGTAATATAATAGAAATTAATTTAAAAAGACAATACTCGTATCTAAGTATACTGACCTATGTTTTTAAAACAGTGTTTGTAAATAAATATTTTTTTGTAAGTTGTGATTTAATTAAAATGGCGAATAAAAAATACAAAATTAGGAAAAAAAGCCTACCTAAAGTGAAGAAGATCCGAAAGTGTATTGCGTAAGTACTTACGCTAGGGCTAGGTTATACTCGTAAGTTCCTATAACCTAGCCCTAGCGTAACATCAACAGGTCATTTACAATAAAAAAAATACATATTGGAATAATTAGATATCTACTTTAACAGGGACATAGATTAGCTAAATCAGTATGACAATTTTTATTTTCGTATTCTAATGTTCCACTATTTAGTGGGTGGATTCGTCACAATATAATTTACTGTAATCTAGCTAAGCTACACAGACTAGCGAAGTCAGTATGACAAGAATTTTAAATCCTATAGTAATATTCACCTATATTTTTGCATACCTACTAACTCTAGTAATTATTTTTTTTTTGCTTTTTGAAATTTTGTAAATTTATTTATTCCATTCCAGTTTTACCTATTATTAATATTTGTATTCTTCAATTGTCAGATTTCTTATGCCCATACCACGGCCCAAATTCCTCGGATCACCAGGTTCGATCTCCAAGGCCCTTGGCAATCTAAATGGGATATTTTTTTGTAAATGATTATAAAGAAGCCTTTTCAAGCTTTTTTAGGATTTCGTAGCCGAATGGAAAAAACCGGAACCCTTATAGATTCATCATGTATGTCTGTCCATCCGTCCGTCCGTGTGTCACAGCCTTTTATTCCGAAACTATTCGGACTACATATTTGAAACTTAGTAGGTAAATGTATTCTGTGAATTTCGTTTCTATACAAAAATAAAATACAAAAAAAAATTATAAGTACAATAAACAACAAAAAAATGTACAAATAAAAAAACTAAATAAAAATTGATCAAACGAAAACAAAAAGTCTGCATGGGGATTCGAACCCGAACCTTTCTTCAGCGTAGACTTCATAGGCCGACACTATAACCGCTTGGCTACGTAACAATAGCGGCGAAATTACGAAACATACCGCGCGGGTAAATCTTTATGCGTGAAAATAGGGCGAAAACGGGCGAAAACGATTTTTCCCATACATGAGACCTAGCTAGATCGATTTTTCGTCCCCGTAAACGCCTAAATTGAAACTTTCATGAAATCGTTAGAGCCGTTTTCGAGAACTCATCTAAATATATATATATATATATTGACGACTCCGTGGCGTAGTGGCTTAGCAATGAGTGGCTGCACTGGGGGTCGCGGGTTCGAATCCCGCACGGAACAAGTATTTGTATGGCCTACAAATAATTGTTCCGGGTCTGGATGTTTGTACTTGTGCAATTTATGTTTGTAAACTGCCCCCACGATACAGGAGAAAATCCTAGTGTAGGGGTAACGTTTAAAATATATATATATATATATATATATATATATATATATATATATATATATAAATATACAAATATTGCTCGTTTAGTAGTATAGGATAAGTAGTTAATTTATTTATCAACAACATTCCTAGGATAGCTAACAAAATCGAACTACTGATTTATTTATACTGTGGCGTGCTCGCCCGCCTCCATAGGTCACCCAAGTTCATATCGCGCCGGCTCCTGTGCAACGCGGGCGCGAGCCGTCTCAGAGCGTAAAATGCCTAAACTTTCGGGAAAAAGGGGCCCTTAATAAAAAACATGTGTCCCGATTCACAAATCGCAAAACGTATTAGTTGTGACAGAACGAACACTACAGCTATTGTAAAAAATGTGACTGGCACAACTGCCACAGATGATGATAGAAAAGATACAAAAACTTAAATTTTCTTTAATCGTCTATTAAAGCACAGATATGGATGTGTTAAGCATTTATGCATATTAGCACGTTCTTTTAAAAGGAAAAATGAGACGGCATTTGTTTGTCTCATACCCCTTGAAGACGTTACTATTGAAAAGCTATAACAACATATTAAAAGTTTTGATTGACAATACCATCCCAATGGAAAATCTTATCGGATTTGCCGCTGATGGAGCGAATGCCATGATGAGACAGCACAACTCATTATCATCCCGTCTAGTTGCCGAAAACCCTCATTTGTTTGTATTGAAATGTATCTGTCACACTCTCCATTTCTGTGCATCGTATGCCTATTTAAAATTGTCAACAGAGCCCGAAAATCTCATACGAGACATTTATAATTATTTTAATAACAGCCCCAAAAGAACTGGAGTTGTAAGTTTAATTAATAAAGTACCCGGTTGACCGAGCTTTGCTCGATATTTTTCGCTCGGTTTTTTTAATTCGTGTGTTTTGGAAATTATATTTAGATACAAATTACATACTGATGAAATACGAATAATATTTTTTGATCTTAGCGACATAATAGAAAAAAACTGAACTGGTTATTTGAATAAAAAATCATGAGTGCAATTAGTTTAATTTAAATTTTCGTGTTTTAAAAAATACAAAAAAAAGGGCTCGAAAAAATAGATTATCTCAAAAAAAGAAAGGAACATGAAAAAAAAATTTAAAAAAAGTCGGTCGGTCGGTCTGGGCTCGAACCATGGTATTACGATTTTGTAACCGCCCAATATACCAATTAAACTATTTGTAATCACTAATAAACTGTCATAATTTACCTTCATTCTAACGATATTGTAGCAGTTTTTCATTGCCTAAAAACACGGACAAAAAAACATTTTCTAAAAATAAATCCTAGCTAGATCGATTTATTGCCCCCGAAAGTCCCTGCACACAAAATTTTATGGAAATCGTTGGAGCCGTTTCCGAGATTCCGATTATATATATATAAAAAACACAAGAATTGCTCGTTTAAAGGTATAGGATAGGATTTGACACTCAAATGTCATTTATGAAACTGTTTCAGTTTCAGATTTATTGTGAAACTTTATAATTGTGTTTTAAATACGATTTTTCGATTAATAATAAAATTATTGTCCGATTTATTCACATGAGGTTTTTTCTAATCTAACCTACCAGTATCTAATTTAACATGCGAGTTATAAACCTGCCTTTTACCTTTTTTTTACTTTTTATAGGCCAGTGCTTGACCACAATCCCACCTGGTGTAAGTGGTGCCGCAATCCTAGATGGTAAATCGCACTGTCTTAGCGTAACAAAAGCCTATTCAATCTTGCCTTGAACACGCCCAGATTGTATTCGGACGGAAAGATAGACGCCGGCAAATTATTCCACTCTTTTGCTGTACTTTATGCGTAAATGGGGTATGTTCCGAAACGTTTTCAGTATACTGCCGAATACAAACGACGTCATCAATTGACAATATATTGTACTGGCTACTTACGTGCCGCCGCCATATTGCGTCGGATATCCGGCCACAATAAAACAATTTTTAATTGTGTGTGCGCTGAATGAAGCATGCCAGAATATGTTTTTATTTATTCAAATACAAAAATTATATAGAATAATTGCTGGTATCTCCATTAGGAGGATATAATGATTTTTGGAGCACAAAATGACAAAATAATCGCCAACACTTTTCCAATATGGCGTAAAGGTATGACGCTACTTCTCGCAGTCGTCATACTTTTATCATATATTGTCCTATGTTTTGGAACGAATCACCATTATAGCGTCGATTCATGACGTCATTTGCATTGGACAGTACACTGGGTTCTATTTTGGAACATACCCATGGAAAATGGACCATTGCTGGTTCCCTTTTGTCCACATTTTGACATAATAAATTGAATATGATATAATATTTAAATCACAACCAATTTTTTTTATGTCAAAAACAGCAATTTTTGGAAAGCTACCCAAATATCTATATTGATAATGTAGTTTTTTTTAATAATAAGGGTGACAAGCAAGCACATAGTTCAAATGATGGTAAGTAAATGATGTAATCCATAGACACCTATCTATTATCGATTAAAAATCCAAATGTATGTACTAAGATGTGACGCCTCATTATCAGCAACAAATATCTCCTTTTCTATAATTCGGTTCTTTTAATTTAACCTGCTCGAAGTTCAAAACTTCACTAAGTTTGTATGAAAAAGGCTTATTTTATATTAAGGAGTTTATGGATACTACTATAATACGGAACTCCTGAGAATTTGTTTTGCGTTGATTAATTTTGTAACATACATGATTGCAGGCTGTTATTTTTTTTTTAAATAATAGCCTACAAATAATTGTTCTGGGTCTGGATGTTTGTCCTTGTGATATTTATGTATGTAAACTTTACAGTAAAAAAAAGTTAGAGTGAATGTAACGTTTAAAAAATAATAAGTTGTTATATGCTGGCTAATTATTTTATCCTTTGTCTCCGTTTCATTCTTCCTCCTCGCTCTTAGTGTACCTGTACAGCGTTATTATTAACCTCTCAAACGCCAAGCGTCCAAATTTGACCGCTTCGATATTCCGTCAAAATTCAAAAGGTCATATTTGACCGCACCCACCCACAACACTTTAAGCCATAAATACTTATGTTTAGAGACTACTTTTCTAAAAAGAAGTTTGACATTATAGAATCAATATGAAAATTTCTATCTAAAAAAACAGTTAGTCTATGGATATTAATTTATATTCGACGTTCATTACGTACGCCATTTTCATTCGGATGTTGTTGTGTTGATTTTTGGATTTTTCTAGTGTTTTACTAGCGTTTTATTATAAAATGGTTATAAAAGTTTTTGTTTGAATATAATTTATGTTTTTACGTAAATAATTTCGAGTAATATATAGAAATAATTGTGATTTTCACGCTGCCGACATTAAATATAAGTTTTAATTGTTTTAAGTGCTGTAGGTGGGTGCGGTCGCATGCAACCGGTCGGGATTTGCCAGGCGCATGCGACTGCATGGGAATTTTATGGGGATTGAAGGGATAATAAAATGAACTCACTTTGGGTGTCAACAGGAAGTACTGCGCGTTGTCGCACTCCGTCGTCACTTTCACGAGCAGCTGGAACATCTTACGCTCGTTGATGGGGTCCATGCCTTGGTTTATTTCGTCCACGCACCTGAAACGTAATCCTTTTCTTATTTAGTTTTCTTTTCTTTTGCTGTTGTTGTTGTTTGATTAGTTTATAGTAATGTCTCCTAAACTTTTGTTCTTTATATTGCATTTGTTCATGATCTGCTTTTCGCGTTATCATTTAATACTCTTTTGTGTGTGTCCGTTTTTTTATATTGGATGATTTTTTTACCATTTTGAAAAAATAGGGCGTAACAGGTGAACGAAATAGAAGCCTATGGCGCTGTTATTTTACAACTTTTTTTTTTAATTTTACATTAACATATTATGAAATTGATCTATCAATAAATACTACTAATTGGGTACGTATTATTTTAATTTCGATAGTTTTTAATTGATTTATTATAAAGTACCGAAAGATTTTATTTTCAAATTAATAGTATTTATTGGATAGAACAATTTCTTAGTTTATGTAAAATATCAGTGGTTTTTATTCCGTTTACCTGTTACACCCTATTTTTTTCCAGGCGGGTAAAAAAACCACCCAGTATTTATGTATATTAATAATCTGTTTTGTCTGTTGTGCCAAATAAATATGCCTGTCTTTCTTTTAAATGCGACATATTGCAAAAAATTACGTTTAATAAAGTAACAGAATAGAATAGAATTCTATGTGCTAAGACATCACGTGAGGAAGAATTAAAATTCACAAGCTCGTAAATTATGTGGAAATTAATTTATTCCTGCGGGAAATAGAGTAAATGGGGCCTTGCACTCTATTGTGAAGAGTCAAAATGTGTCGAAAAAGGCACGTATGGCAATTCACAATGCTGTGTTGGTCCCTACTTTAACGTATGGTAGTGAAATTTGGGTGTGGCAGAAGAAGCACGAGAGTAGAATAAACGCAGTAGAAATGCGGTCGTTAAGGAGTATGTTAGGGCTGAATCTGAATGACAGGGTAAGGTTGAATTGTGTAATAAGAGAAGAGTGTGGCTTGCAAGATGATGTGGTGACCACGATTAAGAAAGGAATGCTTCGGTGGTTTGGTCATGTGGAAAGAATGAATGAGGAAAGAGTGACAAAGAAAATTTATGTTGCAGAAGTGAATGGCAGAGTCGGAAAGGGACGTCCTAGGCGAAAATTTATCGACCAAATTGGCGATTTATTGAAAACGGGCCAAATTAGGAGTACCCTTAACCGACGAGCATGTATGCGTAGGTGTATGGATGTGAAGGAGGCGAGAGAGGTGTGTCAGGATCGTGCCAAATGGAAGTCTGTAGTCTCTGCTTACCCCTCTGGGTGTCAGGCGTGAGTGTTATGTATGTATGTAATTTATTCCTTTCGTGCCGTATGGAAGTGAAGTAAGAGTGTATAATCTCATTTCGCCTTCTAGAGGATCGCATTAGGAAGAGAGAAAAAAACACTTTATTTTGGCATAGCCTTTAATATACATATCAGTATAATGGTTATAATAGAAACTGTGCCGTGGTAGGTGTCATAAGAGGCGACCGAGAGAAACAAGTAGAAGATTGGCAGCAGTGTCTTTACTAATAACAAAATTCAAAATACAACAAAATTAAATTTTATACGTGGTAGAGCCATGTTGCAGTTATATTAGTAGTATAGTTGTAGCACGAATGGGTCGGCTCGACCGGGGAAGGACCACGCTCTCACAATCCAATCTCAAAAGTCCTTACGGGTGACAACGCATCTGCATTTTGATTAGTAATCGAGGGTAGATGTAGATGTCTATGTGCCGCAGCAACCACTTACCATCAGGTGGACTGTGTGCTTGTTTGTCACCCTATCCTATATAAAAAAAAACTAAAAACTTCCGTTGCCAACTCGCTTGGTAAGCGTGGCGACTGAGGCAAATATCCATCTTTGGGGACGGTCTTTGTTCAGCAATTGAATGCTAGATTGTAATGGTAGGGAAAAGTCGGTGCTAAGTCAGCGTGTAGTGAAGGAAAAATGTCCTAACTTTAGAATATTCCGAATTTTTTGAAAATTAATATATTTCTTTCAGTTTTTGCCGTGTGTTGGCGGCTTTAGAGAATCTATTCTAGTGGTTGTAAGATGCGCTTTTATCTTACGGTTTTAATAGATCTCTTTGAATTGAATGCAAAATGAAACAACGGCCAAGTGTGAAAGTAGAATTTCGTGTAAATAATACTAAAGTAGAATTTCGTTTAAATAATATATAAAACATTTAACATTTCATCATACATTTTTTATATAAAGACCACCATAGAATACTATAATACACAATAGAATGGCTGTCAACCTTATTTTGTACGAGGCTTGGCATCGCCAAACTCGATTCGCTGGTTGACAGACTGAATAAATTTACACATTTTAGATTTTTGATTAATGTTCAAAATCATCATTTAAAAAATTGTTTAAATTTTAATACATATTTATTTGTAAATAGGGTGCAATTTGGCAATTTTTAAATAATTTGCATGAAAATTTGGAAATGATTGTAACGTCTAAACACATCTCGTGTTGACATTTATACGTGTTAATGGCATTTTAGTGGGTACGCTGACTCCGCCCACTCCCCCGTTCTATTATGTATGTATTATAGTATTCTACGAAGACCACTCATGACGTCTATGTAGTAAAAAAAGTATTAAAATCAGTTTACAATTGACGAAAACATCGTGTAAACCATGCTAACTAAAAACTACAGTCGAAGTAGGAACCTCCTCGTTTTTTGATGATGGGTAAATTATATGAAAATAGCTGATAAAAAACCACATGTTCTATGTCCCACCTGAACGGTACAGTGGTGAGCCTCTGCAGCGCCATGAGGTAGAGCGCGGTAGACAAAGCCCGCTCCCCACCGGACTGCGCGTGTCTGGTGAGCTGCTGCAGCTGCTCCGATGCACGGAACCGCACCAGGATGCTGATGCCGTACTTGTCGTAATCGTCCTGGAAATCGTCAAGGAATTTAATTGTGTCTTTAAATTCACCCATCTAACGTTGGCCTATCCCAACAAATGCCACTAAACACGTCCTAGACCTCCTGTATCCATTGACAACATGTATCTCTTACCAGATCGTCACTCCACGTAGTAAAGTGCCGCCCTACATTTTACTTATCGGTACAAAACTACTGACCACTTAAGAATATTTCTTCCCTATGTATTGTCGGCGAGCTATATGGCCGCCTCGTTGTTTGTTGTGTTGTTTGTTTTATTAAAGCAAAAAAGAGGACAAGACTTCGTACGTTTAAAATATTTTGTTCATAAACGACTTCACTTAATAATAAGCAAAATGCAATTACAGTCATTGCTATCATAATAAACAATAAAATTCCCGAACTGTACTAAAAGATTTTCTGTTGCATTTAAGTTGTTAGTTTAGTTTAGTTTACGACGGGCTCTTTTTCGCAACGTCACGTCTAAGCGCATATTTTGCGTGATATTGTGTATTTGCGTTGCGTGCAATATTTGCGTTGCATTAAAGTAATACAAACCAAGGTTCATGATGATTTATTATAAAAAAATTAGTCTTGAATCATCAGCATCAACATTACAGCCTCCGTCCATAGATTGGCACACAGCACGATCGTAAGTCACACTGCATCTATTTCCCCCTGCATAAGGTTGTTTCATATTTATTCATCCAATAACATAATTGTTCCATAAGTGCGCCCTACAGCCCGACTGCTTGAATGACTTTTCATTATTCATCATCATTCATCATTACAACAGAAATGGAAATAGAAACTTTTTTATTCAATGTAGATTATAAAAATACTTATTGAAAGTCACTTTTTTAATTTACCACTGGTTCGCAAAAAAAACCCTCTGTCCTGGGAAGAACCAGCAAGAAACCCAGCGGGACTATTTTTTTTTAATAATAGCTTACAATCATGTTTACAATCAACAACACAAGACAAATTAGAAATAGCTTGGTAGCGATCACCCTTCCCAGGGGTTATTATCATCTATAAATTCCTTAATATTATAATAACCCTTTTTATACAAACTTAGTTTAATAACATTTTTGAACTTTATGTATGACAAATTTTGTATATTTTCTGGGATTTTGTTGTAAAAGCGTATACATCGCCCCAAGAAAGAATTACTGACTCGGTGGAGTCGAGTAACTGGTACTACCAGCTTGTGTCTGTTCCTAGTATTTACAGAATGAATATCACTTATTTTCGCAAAACTACTTTTATTTTTGTGTACGTACATTACATTTTCATAAATGTATTGAGAGGCCAGAGTTAATATATTAATTTCTTTAAATTTTTGTCTCAGTGACTCTTTTGGTTTTAAATTATATATTGCTCTAATGGCCCTCTTCTGTAAAATAAATATAATTTCAGTGTCAGTCGCGTGTCCCCATAGCAAAATACCATACGACATAATGCTATGGAAATAACTGAAGTAAACTATTCTAGCTGTTTCAACACTGGTAAGAGTTCTAATCTTTTTTACAGCATATGCTGCAGAACTAAGTCTGCTAGCTAGTTTTGATATATGGGGGAGCCATTGAAGCTTTGCGTCCAGTGTGATTCCAAGAAAAATGGTGGTATCAACAAGACTCAGTTCCTCCCCATTTAAAATTACATTAGTATTGACATGTTTAACACTTGGAGTTACGAATTTCATACATTTAGTTTTAGTTCCATTCAAATGCAAATTATTAACATTAAACCAATTGACTAACTTAGCTATAGCATTATTTACTTCGTCGTAATTTAATAACTGTCGTTTTAATTTGAAAATTAATGAAGTATCATCAGCAAATAATACTATATTATGGTTATCCCCTACTATGTAAGGTAAGTCATTAATATATACAAGAAACAGAAAGGGGCCAAGAATTGAGCCCTGAGGCACGCCCATTTGTACAATCGACCCGGAAGAACTCATACTATTAATAACAACTTTTTGTGTTCTGTCACTTAAATATGAAATAATTAATTTAAGAGCATCATTTCTTACACCGTAGTGTTGAAGTTTCCTGATTAATGTTTCATGGTGAACACAATCAAAGGCCTTGGATAGGTCACAGAACAAACCCAAAGCATCCTGAGAATTCTCCCATGCATTAAATATATATTTAATCAGCTCAACACCAGCATCAGTTGTCGAGCGACCCCTTGTGAAACCAAATTGATTTTTATGAAGTAATTTATTTACATTAAAAAAAATTAACAATTGATCAAGAATAATTTAAAAGTGTTGGCAGTACAGAAATAGGTCTAAAATTAGCGGGGTCCAATGTACTACCAGATTTAAATAAAGGTATTACTTTACTATGCTTCATTAAATCAGGAAACACACCAGATTTGATACTACTATTAAAAATAATAGATAGTTGAGGTGCGATTGTATCTATTATAGACGCAATAACTTTAACAGAAATCCCCCACAGATCGGCGGTTCTCTTAATATCAATAGTCTTAAAATATTTTACAATATCTTTTGATGAAACTTTATGAAATGTAAAATTCTTTGTACACACATTTACATTTTGTTTAAGTAATGATTCGGCGACGGTAGGAGAAGAATTCAGTGACTTAGTGGTTAAGATCGGAATATCAGTAAAATATTTCTCAAAAACCATTGCAACGTCCTGATCAGATTTAGTTAATTTATTGTTAAAACTTAACTGGTAGTTTGAATTGCGAGAGTTGACCTTACCAGTTTCACTATTAATTATACTCCATGTCATTTTAATTTTATTAGAAGCAGTCTTTATTTTGTTGCTTAAATACAATGACTTGGCTAAGGAGCATCATTATGCTGCTCAATAGGAGCAGATGTCTGGGTAGCCAAGTCCTTGGCTGAGTTAATATATAAATAATAAGATAGCACATTTGCTATCTGTCTTAAATTATATTTGGATAGGTAATACCTATCTGTAGTCAAAAATTTCTTAATTAAATTATTAATATCTATTAAATTAATTCTATTGGTATAATTGTTACAATTAAATGTCAAATTTAAATTATTGTTACATGATAAATTATTCATTAATAAATTTAAATCATATCTTATTTTGTATGTTATATTCCACCCTGTATGTAAGGCAATGTAAACAAGATAATTTTATGTACATTTAAAGTATTGAGGTAATCAATATATTTTAATAATTGATTTTTGTTTACATTGCCTCTTCTCCCAACAAGAATTATTAATGTGCTATTAGGAGAAAACTTACTGGTTAAAACTTTATTCATTATATGACTAAACGATGCTCCAGGCATACAATAATTACTAATCAATTGTCCTTTCAAATGGTTATTTAACATCATGCCCAAATTTTTACCTATGTCATCACAATACATAATAACTTTATGTTTTTTAATATTTAAACTACTTTTTAAGTTTTTATTCTGTGTTATGGCACCGTCATAGAGTGTTGGTGAAAATAAGGAGTCATTGCTATTTACACATATTGTCCCCGATGAACATGGTATGGAGCGTTGATTCTCACTCTGATGTTTTATTAAGGAGTCAAAGCGCTCCTCATTGTATTTACATGACTTTACCAGATCATTCATGGCCAATATGTGTTCTTTTATCTCAACCTGAGCCGATGCATATTTATTTGAGATAATTTCTAAGGAGTTTTAAGCGACAAAACTTCTGAATTGAGACACTCTATTTCAGTCTCATAACAGTTTTTCATATTTTCCACCTCAATTGCATATAATTTAAGTTTATTAATTAATACATGCTTTTCCTTACATATATTTATATAATTTTTTGTATTAATTTTTGTTTTAATTAGCTTTTGTACTTTCCTAACATATTTATTAATTTTTATGTATTTCTTTAACTTTCTTCTACTGCATGTAATCCTTTCTGCTGTTCTAGATGTGACAAAACCATCACCAGTCAAATCGATTGTTGTGGAGGGATGCAATGTTTTTGATGATTTACATTCTATGAGCTCATTGAACAGACTTTGAGTTTGGGACACTTTCAATTCATCTAAGTATTGTTTTAATTGCAATATCTGCTCATTAGCCTCACTTAACTGCAACTGCAATGCAGCAATTAATCTGAGGGATTCCTCATATTCTTTGCTGCATCGGTCAAACTCATCGACTGTTTCCTGAAGCTGATCCCTTTCTTTTAAAACATTTGTGTAGTCTTTATGCAACTTAACCATATCACTTTTTAGTTGACTATTTTTGGCAATTATATTTATTATTTCCTTTTCGTTGTCATCCCTTTCTTTAAGCAACAGCTCACACTGCTCTTTTGACGCCTTAAGTTCTAGAAGCGCCATTTGAAGTTGGTTCTCCATTTGGCGCGTTTTGGCGTTGCGTGTATTCATTTTACTGTTATGTGTAAATAGCAAAAGAAAACAAAGAAAGAAAACCGAAGAAACAGAGTAAGCTAATATCTAGATCTATGGGTCTACTTACAGATCTCAAATTAAATTATCAGGTAAATAATTCAAATTGAAATCCGAAACTGCACTAATTTAAAAGATAAATCTTAAAATATTAAAGGGATAACAAGAAAATTACAATAACTTACAGAAAGTTCAAACGATGTTCGTTACCTACAGCTGTCACTTTTAGTTGAAACACAATACACTATATAATTAAAATACTTATGACTTTTACTTATTTTACCAACACAATTAAGTATTATTTAACAACTGTAACTAAAAATTGAGGTGGATATTATCAAATTACAATATTTAATTTTGCTAAATTGTTGGGAGCTATTATTTTACAACTTGTCACTTGGGTTGCCACCAGTAGAATCCACACAACCCTTCACAAGTCCTCTGATGAACATAAGCCTCCCCAAGTAATATCACAAAGCACGGTCCTAAGCCACCTGCATCCATCGACTTCCTGCATAACTTACCAGGTCGTCACTTCATCCAGTGGGAGGTCGCCCTACACTACGCCTACCGGTACAAAGCTGCCACTCGAGAACTTTTTCCCCAATGGTTGTCGGTTCTTCGAGCTATATGGCCGGCCCATTGATACTTCAGCTTACTAATCCGTTGGGCTATGTCAGTCACTCTGGTTCTACTACGAATATTCTCATTTCTAAGTTAATTACGCAAAGAAAACCTGAGCATAGCCTTCTCCATCAAAATCCTATCTCCTAATAATTTTGCTCTAGTTTTGTTTTAGGAATACAACAATGTTGCTGTTCTATTAAATCTCAATGCAAAAAATGAAGTGAAATAGTCTTTACTGTCTGAAACTCCTAGAATGTTGCGCAAAGTAAGTTTGTCCGATAATTAATAATCCTGAAGTTCTTCAAGCACTAAGAAAGCTTGTTTCGCTCAAAGAATAGTTTAGTCGCTGAACCGGTTCCAAGAAAGCCCTACATTTCTTTACCTAACATTTCTTTACCTCACATTTCTATAAAAGCATCCGTACATTTTTACATTTATAAAAATTTACATTAGGAGAAATTGACCCCATATTAATAAGACACCTGGGCTACAAGAAATTTGAAAAATAGATTTTCAAGAATCTATTGAAGTCACACTTTAACCAAATCACCGAGCTAGGGAACCGAGAGAGACAACTGTGACTCGGACTGATTATACTTCTTAAAAACTTACAGTATTCCCCTGTTTTTTCCTCCATAACTGAACAGATTTTTTTCAAGAAGAATATAATAAGAATTCTGGTTACGTCTTCAGACATCCATCCACTACAGCCTATAAAAGTCCACTGATAAACAAAGGCCATAGATTGCGTCACAAGGGGAGGTGGGGGGGGGGGGGATGATTTTGCCATAGTTGACACATTTGGCGAGCGGGTTTGTCAACCCCAGTTTTTTATTATTTTGAGTTGTTATCAGGATCATCTTCATGTTATTCTTTTATGTTCTTTCTTAGGTTCCTTGTTTATCAAATAATTAATCCGTGAAAAAAAAACTCAAAACGAAAACATGACAGAGGTAAATATAGATAGTATCGTAAAACATATTTGCTCTAGCAATTAGAGACATTAGAGGAATACGTTTCAATTCCCCGATATATCCTTTTTCTGAAACCTTCGTTTCTTAAGAGTGCATATTATGCTATTTGCGTCGAAAACTTCATGTTTTAGGGTTTTTTCAAGGGCGATATCATAACGATGTGAGCAAATTATTTGCAGAAAATTACGGATTTAAAAAAGATAATGTCTTTATTTAGTACATTGCAACGGAAAAACATAGTATTTAATGACGGTTTTTTAGACCGAAGACAATCCCTTCATAGTGTTTTACGAAAATATGCGTCAGAGTTATCTTTCAGGTGGAATACAACCACGATTATAAGCTAAAATACTTTATTTTAAACATTATTATAATAGAATATATAGTCTTTTGGTGTATAGCAAAGCTTAAATTACGAAAATATTTCGATTTAATATTAAAAAACAATACCATAAAATCACCAAAACTGTCCACTTCAAGTGATTTTTTTCCGTGTATTGGGATATAAACTTATCTATTTTAATTATTTTAACAAAAAAAATTTTAGCTCGTTTTATTTAGTTAATTACTTTATATGAATATTTTAAAAATACTATAAATCATCACGCGCAAACGCCGCTAGTGCTGCCAAGTGTCCCGATTTGTGCGGGATCTGTCCCGATCAATGATGAATTGGGACACCAAATGTCCCGAATTTTCACTAACTAGTCTAATTATATTTCGATCGATAATTTTGACAGCAAAATTTAATATATCTCATATCGGGCTTTGCATATTCTCCCACCAATCTTGGACTAAATAGGCAACATCAAAGTTTGCTTTGCGCGTAATGTGATGGCATGGCAAGGTGCAGATATCAATCATGTTTACTTGTTTTTTTCTCACTGCTTGATGCATATCGCCGGTTTGCGCTATGCATCGTAATAATAATCAGTACAATATCTAACTTACATGCTGCTGCTTAGATAAGTACATTTAGTAAAATGCAAAAGGCTTGTGAAAAAGTTTTTCCACTAGTCAATTTCTTCTATCGTTTGTAGGTACTGTTGTTTTCAATAAATAATGTAACATTATATGTCCGATGCAAGGGTTTTATCTAGGCTATCAAGGTGTGAGGTATTAAAACCGTTGGAACTATGCCGTTCTTTTTTAAAGTACTCTTTGAAGTGCATGAATTGTGAGTTCATAAGATTTATTACTATTTTCACAGTTATGTTATTCAGAAAGTTCAGTCTTCAACGATGTTTGGACCAAAAATGATTCGTTAATTTGATCAGTTCTATATAATAATTATAAAACATATTGCGAATTGTGTCAAAAAACCTGTATAACTAATAGCGACCACAATGGCTACAAAAAATCTGTTTTTTGTAGCTATTGTAATTGTCCCGATTTTAAAACCAAATTCCCGATTTTATATGCACACTGTCGGAAACGATGCATAGCTACAGGATAAACAATAGTTCGCGCAACACAACGTAAGGAATGATACTTTGTTAAATAATATTATTTAAATTAATTATTAGTAATTTTTCAAGTTTATTTAATAGTAAGCCATTTATAACTAAAATATTTATCCCTACAAAAGATATATCTCCTCCTATATATAGGCTCCGTGGCGGAGTGGCTTAGCAATAAGTTTAATTCTAAGGGTCGCGGGTTGGATTCCCGCACGGAACCAAAATTTGTATACCTACAATAACTGTTCCGGGTCTGGATGTTTGTCCTAATAACTAATAAAATCACATTTTGTGTTTATATATATATATTTTATGTTCTTATGTTAACTGCCTCCACTATATACTTAGGAAACATTCTTAGTGTGGAGGTAACGTTATTATAAAATAAAAACAGAACAGCCATGGTAGCTCAAGGGCAAAGTGCTCGCCGTAAACGCGAGCAACCCGGGTTCGATCCCCGCCGACACCAATGAAATTATTATTTAGATAAATTATCTTTACATTATGATACAGAATAAATGTATATCGAACGAAATCTGTTTTATATAATATATATTTTTCAATTCGAACATATATTACTTACCCCTTTCTAGTTCTTAACTAACTTGGCGTTGTGAGATTCCTTAGTCTACTTACTCAAAAGAGTAAAAAAGAAAAGCCGACTTCAATTTACTACATGAATAAAATAATTTATACATATTAGCTTCCGATGTCAGGACTAGATCGGATATTAATTCTCATATACACTATGTCCTAGTTGCGATCTCATAAGCCACTATGTGGAAATTATTTTATTATTTTAGTTCCAATAGTATCAAGATGATTCGTGCTAGATACAAAAATCGTTGGATACAACTATTATATTACTATAATACTCAGGTGGAATACAACCAATATATTACTAGAATACTCGAGGTGGGGTGAGCGCAAGGTTACCCTTGCGCTCACCCCACCTCGAGCAGTTACGCACACAGAGAACATTGTAGTGTGCTTCAATAATATGTCGTTCCAGAGCGATTTTGACTTGCACAAATTTGAATATACGCTCTTAAGACCGATTTACACTTCGACAAGTACAGTAGCGAGTTTAGTTACAGGGCAGTTGACAGTAAACGGTTAAGTGGGCAACAGCGTTCAAACAATATCTTCGTGACGAGTTTAGTTAAAGACATTAGTTCATAGAGTTCGTTGGAGTATGACGTTTCAAGACTACAGAATTTTTCCGGTTGTAGTTAATAAAGTTTTTAAGAATTTTCATGAGTGCAGCAACTCGAAAAGTTTAATTTTACAATTTGAACTTCTACTATTTTATAAACATTCATGTTCTAAATACCCCTGTACGAATTTATACGTGATATCTTCCGTCCATTTTATTATTAAAACTCGATATAAAACGTATAAATATTTAATAAACAGGATCGTAAAAACTTTGTGGCGAATTTCATTATAAAAGTAAAATTGTACGTTTTGGCGCGCAAACGTTGCGTCATGTCAACTTATGCACTGAACTAAACTCGTCGTTTACACGAGCGGCGAGTTTAGTTGCGGCCGGCGGGAGACGTGCGGGAGGTCATTACTCGGTACTTAACTCGCCGAAAAATAGCTCGGCCGACTATCCCGTTCAACTTAATCGTTAACTTGCTACTTAACTCGCTTATTGCCGTTCAAACGAGGTTCAACTTAACTCGCCAGATTCGCAAGTTAACTCGCAACTGTACTGGTCGAAATATAAATCGGTCTTTGTAAACAGTAAGGTGTTTCCTAGAACTACTTTGTATAGGATATACATACGAGAACATGTAAAACAACAAAATTACTTACATCACTGCCATCTTTATCGAGTTTGATCTCGCCAGCGCATCCCAATTTCGCAAACATTTCGCCGAAACTTTTGTCAATGTCCCGTAACAATGATTCCAGTGGCGGCAGCCAAATTGATCTGTTAACATAATTTTTTATATATTTGTCCGTCTGAAGGCACACCCAGTGAAGAATATTCACATGAAATTTGTAGGAATAATAAATACTCTGGAACAAATTCATTTATTTCGTAATGTTATTTCATAATGCAATAACAAAAAAAAAATATTTAAATATTAGTTCATCGTTCCTAAGAAACTCAGAAATGAGGATATCCGCAGTAAAACCAGAGTGACCGACAACCACTTCAGCTTACCAACGTGGATTAGTGAAAGCTGAAGTGGCAATGGGCCGGCCATATAGCTCGAAGAACCGATAACCGATGGGGAAGAAAGGTTCTCGAGTGGCAGCCTCGTACCGGTAGGCGTAGTGTAGGGCGACCCCCCACTAGATGGAGTGACGACCTGGTAAGACATGCAGGAAGTCGATGGATGCAGGTGGCTCAGGACCGTGCTTTGTGGCATTACTTGGGGGAGGCCTCTTGAGGTTCAGCAGTGGACTTGTGAAGGTTGATGATGATGATGAAGAACATACAGTTAATCATAGCGTTTGATGTCGGAAAAGTCGAAATAAACAATAAATTGCTAGGGTTGTCAGAATGGGAAATATAAAAACTGACTATTTTATTTCACGCTTAAACAAATTCGTCACATGTTTACCGCACACGTAGTGTGAACCATTTTAATTTAAAAAAAAAAAAAAAATATATATATATATATATCAGTCTTGTTCCGTATTTCTACATGTTTGCACGTGTACAAAATTATTCCTCTGTTGTGTTCAGTTAACTCATAGCATTTTGTTTTCAATCAACAGTGCACTTCGGGTGTGTTTACTTTAAATTTTGTCAGTTGTAGAGATTCGGTAGTGCTAAGACTCATTAATCGCTAGTTTGCGAGTAAAGGATAGCCAACGTGTGCTTTGCTGCGCCTTGCTTATACCGCCGCCGTGTTAATCGCTTATATATCACGCAAATTGCACAAAAATAGATAGCTATCGTGATAACACTGCTACCTTTGATTACATCTGTTTATAAAATAATTTCAGCTAAAAATGAGTGTTCGTAGAAGCTCGCCAAAAGGATCGGGATTATATCCTGATTTATCAAAGCTCAGCGAAGATGCTCATTTCGTACAAAGGAAGAGAAAATTACCGGATTGCCAATGTGACTTTCAAGAGATGATGATAGATTTTCAAAATAAAATTACTGCGTCTATAAATAATGTGCTTGAGAGTCATAATAACAACATAAAGTCTTCTTTGAATGCTTTTCGTGACGATTTAATTGAGTTTAAACAGCAATTGCATGATATGAAGCTCACTGCCGAGAAATTATCAAATGAACAAAATGCTTGTTGGCATTATAATATAACCACTAATACCATGGATGTTCAAACAAACAGTGACAGATTAGCTTGTCTCACTGCCGACTTTATGCATTTATCGTTGCTATCACAATTCAACTCTCAATTTAATGTAAATAACAGACTTCTAGACTTAATTTTTTGTAATAAAAACTGTTCAGTGGCTTCTAGCGTATACCCATTAGTGCCGCAAGATCATCATAAAGCTTTAGAAATAGATTTAAAATTATTTTCTTGTGCTATGCTTAACGTTGCTAATATTAAGAAAAAACTTTTCTACAAAGCCGACTTCGACTCAATTAATACTTCCTTAAATTCGATTGACTGGGAGGCAACTTTTAGCACAATGAAGTCCGACGTAGAATCAATGACTTCGTACTTTTATGATGTGCTTGATGGGCTTGTGGATAAACACTTACCGACGCATTGTCTTACTACCAAAAATAAATTTCCTTCGTGGTTTAATAGACCGCTGATTAAATTATCAAAAGAAAAATATAAATTTCATAAAAAATGGAAACGATATGGTAACTTGTGCGATTATCAAACTTTCTCTATTTTGAGACATCGTTTTAAGAAAATGGAGAAAAATTGTTACAAAAGGTTTATTGAAATTGCTGAACAGAAAATTAAAGAGAATCCAAAATATTTTTGGTCTTTTATAAAATCTAAAAATTCTACAAACGACATTCCAGATAGAATGTTATACAAAGGTAAACTTTTATCTAGTGGCAGTGAGATTTGCGATGCGTTCAATCAATATTTTCATTCCGTTTTTTTATCCAGAAATTATTCTCTTATTAATAATCATTCTATTAGCTCTTATCAGCTCTCAACGTTAGATATAAACTTTGTTAATATTGACTATGAGATTGTTCTCAAAGAATTAATAAATGTCAACGTTCGTAAGGGCGCAGGGTCTGATAACATTCATCCCATTTTAATCTCCAAATGTGCCAAAGAACTCGCAAAACCTATAACCATAATTTTTCGAACTTCTATCGAAACCGGTGTTTATCCTAGTAAGTGAAAAAATAATCTTTAATAACTCCTATTCTAAAAAATAACAGAAAAGATATAATTACTGAGTATAGACCGATTTCCAAATTATGTGTATTGGGAAAGGTTCTTGAAAAAATTGTCACATCCTATATTTCGTTTTCAGTTCGTAATTACATATGTCAACAACAACATGGTTTCTTTAAGCACCGTAGTGTTGATACCAATATGGTAACTTTTACTGATTATTTGTCGAAGGCCGTGGATAATAACCTACAAGTGGATGTTGTATACACAGATTTTTCTAAGGCTTTCGACAAGTTAAATCACGATCTACTTATTGAGAAGCTTACAAGGGCTGGCATTCACGGCTTCTCAGGTGGATCCAACCCTATATTGAAAATAGATTTCAAGCAGTTTGTGTAAAGGGATATTCTTCACTATTTCTACCCGTAACTTCAGGCGTGCCTCAAGGATCACACTTAGGCCCTTTGCTGTTTTCATTATATATTAATGATATAGGACTCGCACTAAAGAATAGTGATTACTTACTTTATGCCGACGATACAAAGTTATTTCGAGTTATCAAAACAGTTGATGACTGTGTAAAGCTGCAAAAAGACATAACTTCTCTATTTGATTACTGTTCAAATAACCAACTATATCTCAATATTGATAAATGCCATATCATATCTTATATACGTAAAGTCAACAATATAATATTTGATTATAGCTTGAATGATACTACTAAAAAGATCTACTATAAAGAGTAGATAGTATTGGAGATCTGGGTATAATAATGGATTCAAAATTGTCATTCAATCTACATATTGATTATATATTAAGCAATGCATTTCGTAGCTTGGGATTTATTCTCAGGATTAGCAAACCCTTTAACAAAACCATAACGCTAAAAACTCTACACTTTTCCTTTGTTCGGTCAATCTTAGATTTTTGTAGTACTGTATGGAATCCCTGTTATCATATACATAAGAATAGAATTGAAAGAGTACAACAGACATTTCTTAGGTCACTTAACTATCGTAATAATATTACTAACGAATCATATGATGAATCTTTGCGTAGGTATAAATTATTATCCCTTTGCGATAGACGCAAATTGTTTGATATAATCTTTTTATATAAAATTTTGAATAATTTAATTGACTCTTCTCAACTTCTCTCAAAGGTATCATTTATTGCTCGTGTTCGTCTTCCGGTGCGATCCTCACGTAAAACACCACTTTTTGTTCCTCCGCGGTTACAAAAAAGATATACTCGTAATTCATTCTTATACCGTTGCACTGACATATATAATAAGCAATTTACTAATATCGACCTTTTTTAATTCATCTCTCAATACCTTAAAACAGACAATAAAAAATAATTTAAGTAAGGTTTGCTAGTGAGTTGCATTTTTTTTGAATTGATATTCTAACTTTAATTATGTTTATGTACTTAGTTTTTTTGTTATGTTAATAGTCACTATGTAGTGTTACCATGTAACTTTCTTTTAGATTGTGTTTAAGTTTTCGGCACTGTAGGTCAATTTTTAATAGATAAGTTTTTGTATTTTATTTCCTTAGTATACGACTGTTTGTTGCCAAAATAAATTTAAAAAAAATATATACGTAACAGGACAACCCTGGCGTCCGGTCGCGTCTCGTCCCGCACCGCACCGCACGACTGCCCCGTCTAGACGCCTTCGATGAACGACTGTTAGTAGTAGTTAGATTGTGACAGAGGCCTCCCCCATATATCGTTTCATAAGGGTATATTGGTCATAGTTGCGACACTTGGCGGGATGACAATTGCAGTTTTTATGGTTTTGTATTGTGATCAGGAGGCCGCTGACCATCTCCTGTTTGCTTTCCCCTGTCGGCACTTAAGACAAGCCTGGGATATATGGGGGCGTGAATTCTCTCACGCCGCAACTATTTCTGGTTAAATATATTTATTCTTAAAAGAAATGTACATTTCACTTAAAGAGTAATTACAATATTCAAATTATAAATGAGTTATGAGTGATGAAATCAGCTGATTATGGGGTCAATAAACGCGCGGACGCTGAACTCTTTTTATCTAGCATGGTGCGAAACAATGCAATAGGTATCACTGTATTCACGCTCACTCTACCCTTCCCTTTCACACACGCGCTGCCGCCTCCCGGCCGATTTATGTCGCCTCACAATTTACAACTGTTCAGCGTTGCCAACATGCGGGGAATTCCCCAAATTACTTTAAGCCCATTTTGTAATTTTTTTCGTCCTGTGAAAGGTAGTCTACTATTCCCGCTATACGGAGGAGGTTCGGAATGTACTGAATGCGAATTCGAAACCAAGCCTGAATTGCTAGGTTAAATAAGTTTAAAAAAACGAAATAATTATAAAGTTCCTACCTCAGTTCATTCATTCTTGTCTGTAAGTCCTTATTCCTATCACTGGAAGTGCTGACATCGGATTTCAGTTTTGCTATCATTAGCTCCCTCTCCTCATACTCTTTCAAAACCTGAAAAACACACAAGTTATATATGTTCAACGAATATAGCGCCATTCATTGATATAATTAATACCTTATGTGAACATAAAAGTAAAGTTACAGCCTATATTACGTCCCACAGCTGGGCACAGGTTTCCCACTCATTTTTGAGGGTTTTAGGGCAAAGAATTGTCCGCCGCGCTGTCCCAATGCGTGTTGGCGAACTTCACATGTCTTCGAAACATTTTTTTTAAGGTAGTAATGGTAACTAAAGCACAAGTAAGCTCTTATCGCAAATTTCACAGAATGTGTATGTATAAACTAGATCGTGTATACTCGGATTTTCTTACGCATCATGGAGATGTTTTACATAAATAAATTGCACATAGGCTAAACCCCAGACCAGGCACAATTTGTAGGTCATAAAAACTTTTATTTGTGCGAGAATCGAACCTGCGGCCAAGAAGCACTGCAACCAAGCGCTTATTAATCTGTGAGCGAATGTATGGCACAACCATTTCCTTTTTTATATAAAGATGCTGTGGCCAATACACATCTACATGTATATTCGATTAAGAATCAAAATGCAGATCCTTTGTCACCCTTGTGGGCTTTCGGTTCTCTATAAGTACTCACTATTGAAACACAGCAGCATTAAGCTGCAATTTTACGCTGGTATTTTGTAAAAGGGTGGTCCTTCAACGGTCCAGCTGACCCATTCGTGCTACAACTATAATATAACTGCAGCATGGTTCAATCACATTTAAAATGAAAACTAACCTGTTCATCCCCTTTTTCCATACAATCAATCCTGGTTTGTAATTCGTAACAGTGGTTCTGCAAGGAACTGATATCAGAGGGTAATGTTTCGAAGTTCTCTTTGTACGGGAAATCAGGGTCTTGTGGTAGTTTGTTGTTACACGATCTCTTTGCTTCAGTCAATTTCTCTTTAGCACTTTTTATTGTTCGAGTCAACATGTTTTCTATGTTTTCTAGGGTTGCCTGCAAAAAATAACTTTTGATTATCTTATTTTTTATAGAAGAGGGGGCAAACGAGCATACGGTTCACCTGATGTTGACCGCCGCCCATGAACATCCGCAACACCAGGGGAATTGCAGGTGCGTTGCCGGCCCTTTAGAAAGGAGTAAGCTATTTTCTTGAAGGTCCCCAGGTCGTATCGGTCCGAAAAAATCACCGGTGGTAAACTATTCCACAGAGAGGTCGTACGCGGAAGGAACCTTCTTGTGAAACGTACAGTGGCGGAGCGCCAAGCATCCAGATGGTGTGGATGGTATCGGGAGGTATGGCGCGTAGTACACAGTAAGTAGTAAACAGTAAATCATATTTAAAAAAAGTAGTTTGGCCGCTTTTACACCCAGAAATCTGTTTCGGTTTTCTTCACTTATAAGGATAGCTTCGTTAAATAATTGCTCACTGGTAACGCTGTTGGGGGAGCTAATAAATATTGGCGAACTAACGGCAAAAGATAACGATGTTTGTGTGCATTTCATTTCCACCACATACTACTGAAGGTGGATTACGTCTATAAAAGAGATTGTCACTCTTATTACTGGTGCAACATCGATCCTAACATTTGTAGTGATGAATTCATCAATGATTATAACGTAGGTTTTACTTCGTTCCCAATTTGAGGTCGGCACCTTTGGGAAAAGTTTTCCGTCATTAAAGTTCCGATCAAATTCCCAGTATAAAAGTTGCGGAAACAGAAGCGGAAACGGATGTCAAAAAGCGTGCAGAACATACATACAAACACTCGAAAAACATTACCATCCTTCTGAGGCAGTCGGGTAAAAAACATTCAGCATAGAGACAAATAAATTTCTTTAGATTAAATTGCCACAAAGTATGGCCCTGAGCTGAATGTAGGTGACATTAGTGGAGGGGCGTGGGGGAAGGGGTTTCTATCTGTTGTTCATACAGTTATTTATATATTCATAAAATATACTTGATATACTTGAAAGTAAATAATAAAAGAAAATAATGACACTTAAGATAGAAAACTCAACTTACTTGGACATTTCTCAAGTCGTTTTTCAGTTCTCTTAATTCTGCCTCTTGCTGTACTATTGCGTTTCTGCTAAAATCCAATTTAACCTGGAAATGAAAACAAAATACGATGTTGGTAACGATTTTTTTTAGAGAATAAGGGTGACAAACGAGCACGTCAATGACTACACAACCCGAATAGACGCCTAATGTATGTACTTCAGCATCCAAACCTGTATGTCAAAAGTCTGAGGTAAGCGGTACGGGGGAGGCGGTTTGAAATGCACATGCTACGAGGGTGGATTGAAAAGTACTCGGCCTAACCAAGAAAATAAACACATACTAAATCAGTTATATTTTTATTTTTCTACATAATCACCATCAAGTTCAATACACTTTTGCCACCTCCCCTTCCAAGCATTTAGACCGTTGAAAAAAATGATTCTTCCTTAGAGTCAAAATATGCGTCTACAGCTGCTTTGACCTCGTCGTTTGTCGAAAATCTTTGACCTCCCAAGTGCTTTTTTAGGTTAGGGAACAGAAAGAAGTCTGATGGTGCCAGATCAGGTGAAACGGCGGATGCGGTAACAGTTCAAAGCCACAGTTGTGAATTTCAGCCATTGACTGTACTGACGTGTGAACACGGGCGTTATCTTGATGAAACAGGACTTTTCTTCGGAGCATTCCTCGACGTTTTTCTTTTATTTCCTCTCGTAAACGACGTAGTAAGGTACAGTAGTAATCAGAGTTTATAGTCTGACCCCTTTCAAGATAATCAATCATAATCACACCTTTCGAGTCCCAGAATACTGAAGCCGAAAGAAAGAACCAGGTCTTCTCCACTGTTTTGATTGTTGTTTTGTTTCCGGTGTACAGTAATGAACCCATGTTTCGTCCATAGTAACAAAACGATTCAAAAAATCATCTGCATCGGCTTCAAATAACTCCAAACAGTCGCGTGAAATAGTCAATCGCGTCCTTTTTTGTTCAACTGAAAGCAGTCGCGGAACCCACCTCGCAGACACCTTGTGGAAACCCAACTCGTTGACAATGATGTTTTGAGTTCGTTCATAAGAGATGCCTCGTAATCTCGGCTATCTCTCTAATTTTTAATCTGCGGTCTCCCATTATTAAATCAAGTACTTTTTTAATATTTTCGTCAGTAGTTGACGTCGAAGGCCTTCCAGAGCGGGGTTCATCTTTCACACTCTCTCTACCACGCTTAAATTCTGCTATCCATTTTTTGACGGATGAATATGACAGAGCACAATCGCATAATGTACTGACCATGTCATCATGGATGGCTTTTATGATAGCCCCTTCTTATGGAGGTACTTAATGACGGCACGCCGCTCGATTTGCTCCATTCGCGGAAATTATGTCCGATTACTTTGTTAATAAATTTATAAAATCACAACTAATTATCGCACACGTTTCGAACTTCACACAATGAACTAGTCTGTACTGAACTAAATAATGTGGGTAGATTTGATTTTTAAAATTGAATGGATCTGTGTTAGGCCGAGTACTTTTCAATCCACCCTCGTAATTGGTTAAATTCCAGGTTGCGACATTTGCTAATAGACAAATAGTGATGGGAACTTTAACTGATAAATTTGGTACCAAGTCTACTTAATCAGTATCAGAACCATTCTACTATAAATCAGTACAAGATAAAAAAAAATTACAAAAGAAGTTTCATTTAAGTAGGTATCGTATTTAGTAAAATACCTATAATTTTCTATTTTAAGGAATATTTTTACTAAAACAAGCTTCCTTTACAATATTGAAATAATAATAATAGAATACTATAAAATGGTCATCTCAATCAAGTTCACTTTAGTTTCCTACTTGTCTTGACATGGCGTTTTAGCAGTAAAGAGAGCGCAGTGCCGCCTCTTAAAAATTATATCAATTTTATTATGAATTTTTTATTAAGAAATATTGAATAAATTGATTTTATTATTAAATCAATTTATTCAAATATGGGGATTAACGTACGTTCTTACATCTTACATCTATGTTGTTTATATAAGTCTGTAAAACATTCACAAAAACATGCATAATATTTACTTGTACCAATATTATAGTTTAGGCACTAGTTACACATGCCGGTAATTAAAGAAAAGTATAGCAACAGTGAATTGCATTGAAAAGAAAGAGATGCATAGACAAAAATGTCCGAATAAATCAACGCGAGTTGTTTTGTGACAAATATAGGTTGAGCTCTGATTTAATTTTAAATGAATATGGGAATTAAAATTCACTGGTCTATGCAGTGATGCCTTTTTTTTAAATCACACATTTGGCTACTATTTCCGTACAATTTTATTGTACATTTTGCGCTTCTGTTCTATTTTATTTTGTCGATAATTCACGAGTCACATGCAAGATGTTCACGGGTCAGGTATGTTGTCGCTACTAAAGTAGATCGCGCAATCGTTTTCTTAAGTAAGACGTATTTGTCTAACGTGTTGACAGAAAGTGTTCGCCTTGCATGAGGCGTCTATACGGGCTGTGTAGTCGTTGGAGCACACAGACCACCTGACGGTAAGTGCGTTGCGGACCCCTAGACATCCACATATATTCTCCATGAAGAATCAAAATGCAAATGCTTGTCATCTTTAGCAACTTAGATGGAACGCCTCGTTTACAGAAAAAAATGGTAATGAAAGATATGTTCCTTATTTCTCTGGATATTTTCCATTTACCACTATGCAGTAGAACTACTTTTCTGCCCAGGAGTCCAACTGGATAGGCACCTTCCTCACGCCTATTTCTGACGCCAAATAACAGTGAGCCTGTCTAAAGGGTATAGAGAGCCTGCACTGTAACAGCTGTGAGACATTCCATCTTAGCCTTACTGGTGGCAAGATATCTGTATTTGAAGTTGGCTCAGGTGTCCATGAACCACAATAGCCACTTACGATCAGGTGGGTCAAAGGTTCTAATGAGACTGAACAAGCCACAGATCAGTATAGTAACAAGTGTTGTAACAGGAACATGGCTCTTTTAACAAACATTTGTTCACCATAGGTGTTACTGATAGCGCCTTCTGTCAGGGCATGCATGGGAGAGCAAGAAACGGCGGCTCACGTGTTGCTGACATGTGTTCATACAGGGCTAAACATCTCGGCACGCCGGGATCGCTCCCCGAAGTTGCTTGCAACATCAAAGGACTGTTGAACTTCTTCAGGGAAATATCATGGCTCGAATAACTACATTATTCCTGCCTATACGCAAAATACGAGCTTAGACGTGGAGTTGCGGAAAACAGCCCGTCGTAAACTAAACTAAACTAATCAGGTGGATCATAAGGTTGTCACTATTGTTTTATTAAAAAAAAAATTTCACGTGGTAGAGCCACGCTGCAGCTATATTATGGTTTTAGCACGAATGGGTCTCAACTCGACCGGGGAACTCTCACAGAATACCAGTGTAAAATAGCAGCTTAATGCTACTGTGTTTCGTATGGTGAGTGTAGAAAACCGAAGACCCGTTTTACTGGAATCGACGGATTCCATCTTAGTTCTCAGGCGTGCATTTTGATTCTTCATCATCATCATTACAGCCCTTCACAAGTCCACTGCTGAACATAGGCTTCCCTCTTCCATAGCACGGTCCTGAGCCACCTGCATCCATCGACTTCCTGCATGTCTTACCAGGTCGTCACTCCATCTACTAGGGGGTCGCCCTACACTACGCCTACCGGTACGAAGCTGCCACTCGAGAACCTTTCTTTCCCATCGGTTGTTGGTTCTTCGAGCTATATGGCCGGCCCACTTCAGCTTACTAATCCGTTGAGCTAGTAGTGAGTAGTTTTGATACTTAATCAAGGGTAAATGTAGATGTCTATGGGCCACAGCATCCACTTACCATCAGGTGAACTGTGTGCTCGTTTGTCACCCTTATTCTATTAAAAAAACATTTAAAATCAAATAACATACCTTCCAAAGCTCCATATTAACAACTTTATCCTGTAGACTCCGCATAGTGCCCTTTAACTCGAGGTGGAGCTTGCATAACTTGACCACACAGTCCCTTTGCTTTTTCTTGCACCTTTTTCTTTCCTGCTCTATGTTCAAAGTGGGTTCGTTCTCTACATCTTGAACTTTTTTTGTTTGTAAGCGAATTTGAGCAGAGATTGTTCGGACCTGGAAATTAAGGATGTAATTAATATAAAAATCGCCATGTAGGGGTATCCACTGCCTCATATCGTACCGTGAGTGTCGTAAGAAGCGACATAAAGAAACTCAACATAATAAAAACTACAGTTGCCTACCCACCCACACATTTGCGTTGGCAATTGCCAAGCGTGGCAAATATGTCAATATCTACTCCATTCTACAACCTATGAGGAAGGCCTATGTTCAATAATGAACTTTTGATAGGCTGTAATGTTGATGATGTTATGATGAAAAGCTAAATTTATTTTAATATACCACAGAAACAGATAAAAAATACAACGATTTATTTTATCATTATCATCATCACAAACGCCGAGATGTCATCAACTGAACATCGGTCTTCCCCAAGAAAATCCAAAAATAATTTATATATTTCAGTTTTATTTGCAATCTCCTTCTACAACGATAGTATTAAAAGCCCACAACTGGACATATACCTCTTCTATTGTAGGGATGGCTTGTTCTTAATTTTTTTTTAATTTTTAATTTTTGATGATATTAGTCCCCGGTCGTTTCTTATTAACCTTTTGAGCGCCAAAGTCGCCTATACTTGACCAGCACCTGCGAGCTCTGACGCCAACGACGTCTATAATTGACAAAAAACCCGGCCCACAAAAATATGAAATATAGATATAGAAAATTATTACTGGTATTTTAATTCTACACTCCTCAAAAAAAAAAATAAACCAGCATCATGTGAGTATAAAAAACAAGACTCCTGAGCCACAAGTACTAAGAAACATTTAACTAAAAAAAATGGATTTTTATATAAGCAAATACTATGTCCAGCACGCCAAAGTATAACAACATTAAATAATACTAGTTTACAATTCGTCTATGTTTGACCGCTAGTGTTGTAATGCGTTAGGCATAGATTTATTGAAAACTATTAAAATTAAACGCAAATGTGTTATTTTTTAAATTATTACTGTTGAATAAAACAAAAGGTAAGAAACATAAAACTATCATCAGCTACATAAATAAAAGAAATAATAAATCTAATATCTCAACTCTGGCGCATCCTTAGCACGTCATCGGAAATCATATCGCTGGGCGCCGTGATCAAGGATAGACGACACCCTGATGACGTCTAAAGCCTCATTTACATTCAGCCCCTGCCACTGCTCCTCGCGCTGCCGGCAATACTTCGCTAAATACTGCCGTAGCAGGATCGCGGGAAGTGTGTATTTACACTCTGCCCTACCACTCACATCACTTTCGGCTTTTGACTATGGCAGACGTCGAAATAATTACAGCGTCCGCGCTGTGTCGTCTTGCAATACAAAATTATGTTAATAATTTAAAAAGATATCAAGTTCAAAAGAAGATAGATAGAAAATTTATTTGCTTAAAAACATGGTACATAAGATGATCAATGACGTGTAACTGACATGTTTTGCCATAATTGGCATGCAAAAATGATATGAAATACAGCTAATTACACAAACCCAATGTTACATTTTAAAATTATTGCATTGCTTAAAAGTTAAGCTCAGGCTATTATGCAAATATTACCATTTAACTTATTTTACATTTTAATAAATAAATAATCAATATGAGTTACTAATCGTTTTTAGAAATAAAATGTCAATGCTCATTAATCCCTAAACTAAATTTTATATTAATATAAAACATTTGATGAATTTATAATTAATTATGTACATATATTAATATTATACTATGTTATCTCAAAAAGAAAATTCGTATTCGTAGAAGATGATGAATTGTGGTTTTATCGTTGAAATCCCATATTTTTCTGATTCCAGCAGTTCTAAAAACTTTATTGTATTTTTATTATTCCACTCGAAAGGCATTTTGGTAGATCGTACTTATTTAATAACAAGACGGCACGCACGTCCGTTCATCCAGGCGCTTGACGCGAAGTGAACGACGGAGCAGAATGTGAACGTTCACTGCCGCTCGCGCTGCCCGTCCTTTGACTTTCACACGAAAAACCGACATTTGAGGGAGCGTCGGGCAGTGGCAGCGGCAGCGGCAGTGTCAGCGCGAGTAGCCTGTTTACATACTGCCCTGCTCACTGCCCTGCTCACTGCCCTGCCCAACACGGCTGAATGTAAATGGGGTAATAAACGAATAGCGGAAAAAGTAGTGCAGTGCAACATGAACGATTCCTCAGAACTCATTCGCATTTTGGAAATCGTCGAAGATGATGATTTTTTTTATTTTAATAATATAAAATCACAAATTAAAAAAAATTAATTTTGTGTTGTGCGATTTTCTTTCTCAATCCAGGGTATTGACTGAAACCTCTATTATATTTTCTGATGACATTTCCATTCTTATTCCGCATACGAAAAACCAAAATTTAAATAATAAATTGAATCAATTCAAGTACTGAACCAGGTTACAAATTGGCTGACACATCACAACCTAGAGATTAATTATTTTAATAAAACCAAAATTATGCAATTCCGACCAGTTCAAAAATCACCACTAAATATCGCTTTTACTATTCCTATAGGCTTCTCAACTTGTTAGGCCTGGAAATCGACTGCCATATAAACTGGAAAGCCCATAGAAATAAAGTAAAAAATAGGCTCAATCAATATTCACTTACGTATTACGAGAAATAAAGAAAACCACAGATGTCCCCAGCGCTCTGTCGGCATATTACGCATACACATCTTCGTGGCTGTCATACGGTGTCATGTTGTGGGGAAATAGTAAAGATGCATAGCAATTATTTATAATGCAAAAAAAAATTATAAGAATCTTGGCAAACATAAAAAAGTTGTAAGCCCCACTTCAAAAAGTTTAAAATTTAGACTTTGACGTCTGGTCATATTTGGGAAACATGCAAATTTGTAAAAAAAACACCCAGAACTATTTACAAAATTAAGTGAAACAAATTAGAAATACTCAGTTAGACCAAATAAAAATAAGCTACTATTGCCGAAATCTACTCTTGCTTTGCATAGCTCTAGTCCCTACTGTATGGCAGTTAAAATTTTTAATAACCTTCCAAATGACATAAAAAATTAACGAGTACTACATTACTTTTCGAAATCGATACACAACGTATCAACACGGCTACATCTCTAATAAAGTTTCAAAAACGAAGGTCAGCTACGCCGTTGTCGTCCAGTCGTGACAGTGACGTCATCACGATGAAGAGTAGTGTTGTGGTTTACTACTATTTTATTGTTATTGTTTGTTTTTATTTATGTACAAAGTACATGTATAAAAAGAGTGGAAGACAGCACAAGATTAAATAAAACATACACGTGATCGGCGGTGTTGCTGTTGGTTTGCATACTTCATTTATTTTATTAACTATTTAATGTGCAGTTGAAAGTGAAATACAGCTAGCTTAATATTCAAACATAACAAACTGAACAACTCGCGGTTGAATTTTGACAACTAGGCATCCACTAGCCACTAGTTAATAGTAATTACCTTTTCAACGCCATCGTTGATCTTTTTTCTTCTATGATTTAACTCGTTCAAATTGACTTCCAGCGCGGACACTTTGTTGTCGAGTTCTTGCATTTTCGTTTTATGAGACTGAGCGGTTTTTTGTAATTTCGATAGCCTGAAATCAAATGTAGTTTGATATTAAAGACATTAAATACCTTTTAATTCGTCAATGTTCTTGAGAGGATACTCCGCGCCATCTAGTATCGAGTAACAGAACTAGGAGAGCTTTCTAGAAAATGCCATACTAGAACTTTCCCATTAGCGCCATCTAGTATCGAGTGGCAGAACTAGGAGAGAACTTTCTACACTCAGCCGGTTGGGACCGGTATGTGCTCGAACATTCTAGATGTTTCAGTAGAAAATACCTATATAAGAACTAGTAAAGACCACGACCGTGGGAGTATTGAAATGGCGAAACAAGCGAATAGTTGAAAGCAATGTAACTGCGAACTAAAGTGTTCAGTCTGATACACAGTTTATATATATATATATATATATATATATATATATATATATATATATATATATATATATATATATATAAAGTACGAATATATGTAAAACAGGTAGTCTTATCACTCTGAAAGTGATCACTTCCAGACAACCTGTGCATAGAGAGGTTCAAGGAATTTTCCATTTCTTTTCCTTGGTAATATTCCCTCGTATTTCTTACCCTTGACATTGGCAGAGAATAATAGGTTAAGCAACAGAGCCATTTTGTTGAAAAAAAAGAAAAGCGGGGAGATAGTTCTAGATTTCACATATGCGTATTTGTATTTTAACAAACATCAGATGATACTTTAATAAATACGGACCGGAAACACAAAAAGCACTAACTGATTGTTAAAATTGTTAATTTGATCCATGTCTACGGTGTTGGCGAGCAGGCGGGCCGGTCGTATCTCTATCGTGGAGCTGGACTTAGCTCCGCTGTATGCCGACACGCGGACTGTGAATCTGTGGTTTTCTGGAAAAAAAAAGATGCCGGTGAATAAAACTTATTTTACGGAAACACACCACGTTCAAATTAAGTTTAATGTTTAATTCTCCGTGACCGTGGGTGCTGTAAAGCACCCAAAATGTCGGGCATTAAAAATTGATGTTAAATTAAATGCGATAAAATCAGTGAAATTAGTTAAAATCAGTGAAATTAGTAGTTAGTCAATGTCAAGTATTCGTATAAATATAAGAAATCATTATGAAGATGCAGGTGTTTTTAGAAACATATTTTTTTTATAAAAACATGCCTTCAGGTTAATTGTTGCATATCCGGAATGGATATATATCCCGCTCGAAGGACCAAAATATTATCCTTCTTACCGCCCGACACAAGTCCACCGCTGAACATAGACCGCCCCAATTTATTGCTACGAGACACGGTACTTGAACATTTGCATCTATCGTCTAACTGTAAGTTTTATCTGGTCTTCACTGCGCTTGATAGTAGGGTTGCCGGTTCATTGGCGCTTCAAGTTATTGATCTATAGAACTATATCAGTTACTTCTGTTTATCTGCATAATTCCTCATTATGGATTACATCATGCAGAAAATCCTCGAGAAAAACTCTTTGTAGTTCGCTTAATGAGGTCACAGCTAGTAGTGGGCAAAGTTCTCCACTCATTTAGAAAGAAAGAGTAAAGGATGACCCCACCATGATATAGGTGTCATATACATTTCGAGAAATTTTACCCTTAATGATGGCAAAATGAAAAATAGTTTTTAATGAAACTATTTACACGACATTGATTGAGATTGTGACATTCCTTCATCATCATCGTTACAGCCCTTCACAAATCCACTGCTGAGCATAGGCCTCCCCCAAGGAATGCCACAAAGCACGGTCCTGAGCCACCTGCATCCATCGACTTCCTGCATGTCTTCTTACCAAGTCGTCACTCCATCTAGTGGGGGCGAGATACATCCATGGAGAGGGCTATGCTCGGGGTTTCTCAGTGTGATAAACTTAGAAATGACTATATACGCAGTAGAACAAGAGTGACCGACATAGCCCAACGGATTAGTAAGCTGAAGTGGAAATGGGCCGGCCATATAGCTCGAAGAACTGACAACCGGAAAAAAGGTTCTCGAGGTCAGCCTCGAACCGGGAGGCATAGTTTAGGGCAACCCCCACTAGATGGAGTAGTCCACTTAAAAGAATAAAAATATGACAAACGAGATGTGTCGTAATTTCCCGATCGCTGCTCAGCCGAGTAGTCCGTAGAAGAGAATTCTCATAGACCACTGATGCACGAATGATTGGAATAATTAGTATTTTTATGTATTTTGTATCATGTTTGCGCGAGAAAGTTCCTGAAGCTCGATATTTCAATGGAAATTACAGCAACTTGTGCGAAAGCACAATAAGGGTCAATGTCTCCATATAAAGTTAATAAAATGTGTAGGTGTAGGCATAGACAATGCTGTCTAATTGACGCAAGCAAGAAACGATCTTACATCTATCTACGTATACAAAGCCTTTTCGCCTTTGGAAATATTGTTAATCGCGAGTATCTAACGTTTGTTATGACTTTAATAAACATTTTCATATAAAATTATGTAAATATTGTTACGAGCTTGAGGTTCGTGACGATAAAAACTGCCGATTGAATTACCAAAATTAACACTTTAATTTTCTTTACACCAAATAAAACTTAAAACACTAATAATTAATCACACTGATTCACTTTATTTCGCTCCGAAGCTTCGCTTGTCTCGCCGAATTCAATACTTCCCCGATCGCACCTTGCAGCGCCTATAAATACACATTAGCACCGAAACATCCAGAACATTCAAGTAAATACGCGCACCAATCGACAAGGCGCCGAAAGTTCGAGTGTCGGCTTCTAGAAGCTTAGTTCTTCGTTTCGACACCAGATGGCGCTGTCGGTTGAAAGATTAGTGATGTCATTTTCTGGAAAGCTCCCCCCGCTCTCGTCCCTGACACTATATGGCGCTAGTGCCGGGTACATGACGTCAACTTAGGCGCGCAACAATATGTTAATAACTATTGTCAGCGGAAATATTTTCATTTGAATATCTCATTTTTGTGTTGTGTAGAGGCGGCATAAGAGAATAAGAATTAATAGTGTCGGTACCGTATGAGGCGGCGACAGAAGGAAATTAAAACAGGAGATGGCCAGCAGCATCTTCCTGATAACAATACAAAATAATAAAATATTGTGGTTGCAAGCGTGGCAACTATAGCATGACCCCTTTGAGGCAAACAATGGAGGAATCCTATGTTCATTAGTGGACTTTGAAAGGCTGTAATGATGACGATGATGATCTTAGTTTACAAAATTTTATCAAAGTGAATAAGATAATGTAGTTGCAGAGTGATTTCCACAGGCAAAGCAATTCCCACCACAGTTACAAAATCACACTTTGAATTAATTGATAGAATCAGGCGTTACTTTGCGGAAATCCATTATAATAAAGATATTAATAGTTACTTTGCAACCATCCGCTCAATAAAATACAATGAGTGTCATACCTAGTTTGAAGAGCACCTCCCGCCCTCCCTCAATTGCGTGCACTAATCCCGTCACCACTAATCTTAGCACGTCGTCGTCGATGGTGTCTTTCCTAAAATAGTGGTATTGGGAGTAGTAGTGTTGGGAGTAGTGGTGTTGGGGGTAGTGGTGTTGGGAGTAGTGGTACTGGGATTAGTGGTGACGGGATTAGTGCACGCAATTGAGGGAGGGCGGGAGGTGCTCTTCAAACTAGGGAAGACACATCATTTTATTTTATTTGAGCGGATGGTTGCAAAGTAACTATTAATATCTTTATCACACTTTGAATGGTCAATGAATTCAACCATCCAATACTCATAATTACAAGGATGACTTCATCGTTATTAATATTACGACCATGATTTGTAGAATTCCTAGGAGGCTAGTCCTCCAAGGAATTCTACAAAGCACGGTCCTGGAACACCTGCTTCCATCGACTCCCTATAGACAAGAATGACTTACTTTTTCAAGTATTTTATTGATTTTACTTTACCTGTAAAGAAGTAAGTGATATTGGCTGGAACCTTTCCGCTGTTTTTATATGTATGGTCGTTGCCAATCGGAATTTTGTGTATGGAGTACTGCTTGCACAGGTAACTTAGTATCGGGTCTGGACCAGTTATCGTGTCAACAAGATAGGTGTAGAAGCCGAGGTAACTGGAATGAAATTAATTTGAAATAATTATATAACACTATTTTTTCATAATTTTTTTTTTCAAAAAATTCAAATGGCGGAATTAATACAAAAGCCTGGATTAAACATATATGAGGCGGTACTGAAAAATTAAAAAGTAAATGAAGTTTAGAATTAATATAAAACGTAATTTATATAAAAAAAATTATAAAACAACATTTTTCATCCTATTTAGTTCGGGCTATATGCATATTTCGCGACTTTTTAATTATTTTGCAACAAAATTATCATAGTGAATCCAGGTATTTCTTAAAAAAAAAAAAGATGACTCACAGTCCACGTGATCGTGTGTGGAAGTTGTGAAATATAGAATAGACCCCTATCTGCTGTTAAGGGGGGATAAAACCTCAAATGGCTTAGCAAGATCCTCCGTTATACCAAAAATATTGCAGCATTAATTTTGAAATAAATATATGGTAAAGTTGAGGATTAATGTAAGTACTATGTTAGACGAAAACATGATTCCGTAAAATTTTCTCGATAGAAAAAAAATCCAAAGTTACCTCCAAACTGAACAATAAACCGCTGTTATTCATAAAATACTTTAAATAAGATCATGAAACTTTGCATACTAACTGAACTAACTATAAAGCAGGGCTTGTTTTTTTATTTTTTTTAAATACCATTATTTTCACTGTAAAAAGAAATTACCTAAACTATCGGCGTCCTGAAGCTTGTTTCCTGCCGCCCGGTTCCACTTTACCATATATTTATTTCAAAATTAATGCTGTAGTATTTTCGGAATAACGGAGGATCTTGCTAAGCCGTTTGAGGTTATATTTCCCCTTAAGGGCCAAAATGCATAGATAATGTCACCCCTGATTCCCCTGACCCCCCCCGGCTGCGATACGTATGAAGGAAAATTGTGATAGCAAGACTTACCGCAATTGGCTAACATCACTCATCTGTGCGTTAAACCTTGTCGAACTGCATATAGCGTTGACCCTCTTCAGTCCACCTTCGATCCTCACCTTCTGCAGGAACAGGTTCATGTCCCGTGTGGACTCGAATGTAAACGCGACCAAATCCCTCGCCGGCACCGCCGCTTCTAAATACCGGGCGAATTTCGGGTCTGTGAAATTAATCTGAGAAAATATATTGTGTTAAAAAAACGGTTAAATTTTAAAATATAATAGAAGAAAAAATTATTTTTAAAGGGTGAAAAAAGTTTAAAGTTTAAAAAAGGCGCCATTTAAAAACCATTTAAAAAAACTGCTTATTATCAGACTCAGTTTGTACATTTTGTGCTAGTGTGATGAAATAGAAGCAATAATTGTATATATAAAAAATTAGTATAATAGCACATTTTTAAAAACTAATAATTTTAAAAATTAAAGATGGCAGAGTCCATATTTACCTCTATCAACCTTCGAACTACGTTGATACTGCTGTGCAGTTCCAGCATCATCAGAGCAGTCTAACAATGACACCATAGCATACGAGAGCCTTAAACATTTTACTGGAAACAAGGCATTCTATCTTTGTCCTCAGATGTGATAATGCCTCTGCATTTTGATTCTTAATCAAGGATTAATGTAGATGTCTATGGCCCACAGCATTTATATACCATTAGGTGCACTGTGTGCTTGATAGAATACTATAATACATACATAATAAAACGGAGAAGTTTTTGTAACCCGTGTAACTACTAAAATGTCACTAACATGTCAATTCACACATATAAATGTCAACACGAGATGTGTTTTGACGTTACAATCGTTTCCAAATTTCGCATGCAAATTGTTTAGAAAATGCCAAATTACACACTATTTACAAATAAATATATATTAAAATTTAAACGATTTTTTCAATGATGATCTAAAACATTAATCAAGTCTAAAATATTTAAATTTACTCAGTCTGTCATCAAAGCGAATCAGGTTTGTAGTAGTGGTAATACGACGTATAATTGCTTGTACGTGTGCTCCCGGCGACGCCGATCCTCGTACAAAATAAGGTTGACAGCCATTCCATTGTGTATTATAGTATTCTATGGTGTGCTTTCACGCTTTTTCTTTAAAAAAGAATGTGTGACTATTGATGTTGAATATTAAGAAAAAAACTTACTTCGAGCACCATAGGCTCGTAAACGGGGTGCTGAAACATTTCCTTGTTCTCCCTTAACCACATGACCGCCTTGTAGCAATCCTCGCTGTATGTGCGCAGCACTTCCAAACGTTTCACGTCCACGTCTTCTAAGTTACGGATTCTGGGGACAGAAATAGAGAAATTAATAAACCAAATTCTTGACAACATTCTACATAACACAGGACTATACTATATTTATAATCATATAAAAAAATTGAAACTAAAAACTTAAATTATCAAATTAAATCAAGCAAACTTTAAAAATTTGTCGTGTGTGTGAATGTGTATGTTATTATTATATAGAAAGATGACAAACATACACACTGGCACAAATGCTGGAGCACATAGACACATTACATCTACCCTGATTAAGAATCAAAATACAGATGCATTGCCACCCCTGAGGACTAAGGTGGAACGTCTTCGGGGCTGGATTTACCTTAAGTGCCGCCCTGGAGCTTACAAAAACTAAGGGACACTCCCCTCTCCAGTCTCCTGCCAAACGATTCTAAATTTTTAACAAAAAGATGGAGCTACTCTGTGGTTCCCTCAACAAGTCGTCATACGTATTTCGATTACATTTTTCACTAACTAAAAAAAATCGTTTGAAAAAACAAAACTTTTACTTCAACTTATTTTGAAAAGTAATTGAATTTTTGTATTTTTTTTAAAGAAGATTAGTAGTAAAATTCTTGAATAAAGAATGTTGTTCTATATTAAAGATTCAATTTATTGATTTAAAAGTTAGGCATTTTCTTATTGAGCGTAGATAAATAATATGCTCTCAAAAATATCTAGATATATATAAAATGAATTTGATAAAACCAAATCTGCTTTCCTTACGCACTTATGCTGTACGTGTGTTTAGGATATTATTTATATTTTTGTTGTGAAATGTTAATAAAAAAATTGTATACAGGACTTCAAAACGTGAAGATCCAATAAGCACTCGATTATTGAAAATCGGCATCAAACCAATAACTTTCCAATTTATAAAAATCATTCATTTTCGTAACTGAAAGTTAAAAAAAAATCGCACTCTAAATTTTGCAGCGCTGGGCACTAGCCCCTAGTGCTAATACCTAGTGTAAATACATTACTGAACATCTTGTTACCAGTAAAAAGATTTCAGGTTCTCTTTATTTACCATAATAAGGCAAAAAGTAGCATTATCTTATTCAACTATTTTACGCTGCTATTCTGAGCTAGCGTGGTGCTTATCCGGCCAAGCCCACCTATGTGCATACAGGGTGGTGCAGCGTTTAATAGAATAAATTATACCATACATAAACACTCACGCCTGTCACCCAGAGGGGTAGGCAGAGACTACAGACTTCCATTTAGCACGATCCTGACATACCTTTCTCGCCTCTTCCACATCTTTCACTACCATACGTTAAAGTAGGGACTAATACAGCATTGTGAATTGCCATACGTGCCTTTTTTGACACATTCTGACTTTTCACAATAGAGTGTAGAGCCCCATTTACTTTATTTCCTGCATTCACTCGTCGTTCAATATCCTTATCATATCTCCCACCCCTGCTGAATACGAATCCCAAATATACGAACTCATCCACTTGCTCAATTAACTCTCCTTCTATTCTTATTTCACATACCGTTTTGCTTTCTTCTCTTTCAAAAACCATCACTTTCGTCTTACTTGCGTTCACTTTCATTCCCCTTTCTTTTAATGACCTGTTCATTAATGTAACCATCATTTGCAACTCAGCCGCCGAAGACGCAAGTATGACTTGATCATCGGCGTACAAAAGGCATTTGATGGTTAACTCACCCATTCTTAACCCGCATTCTTCAACTTTCAAATTTTCCAAACAGCTGTCCATAAATAGGCTGAACAGCCACGGGGAAGCTACACAGCCCTGTCTGACACCTTTATGGATGCCAAACCAGTCCGAGTAGACCCCGTTGATTCTAACACAAGCACTCGAGTCCCTATACAGAGACTTTAATGCCTGTATTAAACCAGCGCTCAACCTAAATGCGTTCAGCGTTTGCCATAACACATCCCTGTCCACTCTGTCAAAAAACTAACTAAATTATACCAGCAACTCTATAAAGCATTTTACTATCATAAAACTCAAACTCAAACTTTTTATTGCGTTCATGTGGTTACATAAATAGTTCTTATGTTGGATATATTAGAGCCAGACATGAGCCCTGATAGGGCGTAGCAATATTATATTATGTTATATATCAATTTAATTTAATTAATTTAGAAAGATGAATTTAATTTTATTTACTTAAACTAAACATTACTTTTAGGTTTATTAAACATTTGCAATATTTACAATGACATAATCAAATTAAACAATAATTATTTTCACCGAAAAACTCTGACAATGAATAGAAACTTTTTTCAATAAAATATTTTTAGCTCTCTTTGAAATTTATACAACGATTCTTCTTTTTGTAGACATTTGGGAATTTTATTATAAATTTTTACACACATACCATAGGGTCCTGATTTGACTGTTTGTAATTTTGTGATAGGTGAAGCTAATTTTTTACTAGGACGTAAAAAATGAGGCCGGGAGTATATTGAAAAAAAGTGCATATTCTTTTTTTATTATTTAGATTGACCACTGGAAATTTGTTTCATTTTAGTAATTTTTACACGGGATGAATATACATTACATTTCACGAGACTAAGTTCGATAGGGGTAAATAAACTTTTCCTTCAAAATAATGTGACGTCGCCATTTCGATGTTCTATCCCGACTTTCGTATTAATCCTAATCGTACCGGTTTTGCTAATACAGACGAACAAACTCCTAAGCCTAAATCATATATATTCATCCTAAAATTTTGACTTTACTTTTACGAATCAAAATGCAGATGCGTTGTCATCCGTGAGGACTTAGATGGAATGCCTCTTTCCAGTAAAAATGGTGTCTGATTCTCTACACTCACCATATGAAACACAGCAGCATTAAGCTACTATTTGACGCTGGTATTCTGTGAGAGCGTGGTCCTTCCCCGGTCGAGTCGATCCATTCGTGCAACAACTATACTACTAATATAACTGCAGCATGGTTCTACCACGTAAAGAAACGTTATTGATAGTGGAATCAGCTTTCATCATCAAGCAGGAAAACTTTTTGAAAAGAAAGTATCCTGAGCGTAATCTGTTTACAGCTATAATATATTACATTTTTTTAGACTCATCATCATCATCATTACAGCCCTTCAAAAGTTTACTGCTGAACATAGGCCTCCCCCAAGTAATGCCACAAAGCACGGTCCTGAGCCGCCTGCATCCACCTGCATACATACTCACACTAAATGATTCTATACATATTTATCACAGCTTATTTTGTCACCATCCTTTTAACAATGTTATTATAAACAACTTACTTGTTCTGATACAATCGTATCTGCGGCGTTACGTTATTTTCTAGATCATACTGTACGTCCAATTTTTGTTTCTTCAGCATGTCTATAGCCGCGTTGGTCTTCGCTATTGGCTTGTGCAACTCGGCTAATTCCATTTTAATTTGAGTTTCTGCAACCAAAATAAAATTTTATGGCTCGGCAACTCAGTGACAAGTGTTTGTATAAGACTTACAAGAACATAAAGCAATAATTGTTTCTGGTTTGTATGATGGTACACTCATAATTTATGTTTGTTAAATGTTATCGTGAAAACTAAAGAATTAAGTTTTATTTAAAGTAAATAAACGGACATAAAAATGCTTTATTCTAATGTACTAAAAGTACAGGGTTGTTAGAAGAAAGTTTTGAGATAATTGATAGAAGCAGGCGTTACTTTGCAGAAATCTATTGTAATAAAGATATTAATTAATTTGCAACCTTCCGCTAACTAAATACAATAATGTGTCTTACCTGGATTGAAGAGCATCTCCCGTCCTTCCTCAATTGTGTGCACCAATCCCATCACCACTAATCCCACCACCACTACTCCCAACACCAATATTCCAGGAAAGACACACCATCAACGACAGATCAGACAGATAGAGATGAAACACGTGTCGTATTGTCGTCGATGGTGTGTCATTCCTGGAATATTGGTGTTGGGAGTAGTGGTGCCGGGAGTAGTGGTGCTGGGATTAGTGGTGACGGGATTGGTGCACGCAATTGAGGGAGGGCGGGAGGTGCTCTTCAATCCAGGTAAGACACATCATTGTATTTAGTTAGCGGAAGGTTGCAAATTAATTAATATCTTTATTATAATGAAAGTTTTGAGATTCATATTTCTTTATCCAACTTACAACTTGGCGGAAAGTCAAAGGTATAACATTGGTGTCTATATTATCACAGATATATTAAAAAAAGACAAAATAAGAACACTTTAAAAAATATATTACCATCTCCAACAGTCTCAACTAAGCGAGTCTTGTCGGTGATTAATTTTTCCAACTTCGCTTTAGCTTCAATCAATTCTCTTTCCCTGTTTCTGTGCCGTTCTAACTTTTCTTGCAGCGACGCTTCTATATCCTTTAGCAGATATTCTTGCTGACGAGCAGTGTTGATTGATTCCTTTATGTTGTCTTTTAGGGTATGGATTTCTCTATTCTGAAAATAATATTCATATATAATATTTGCGATAATGAAGACAAAGTATGACAAAAATATAAAACAAAAGCATAACCCATAACAATAACGTCTTAATCTCATTATGACTCAGTTATATTTAACATGAAATTTAAATTAAAAGATTTAAGACAGTATATGCCAAAAATCTTGCTTTGAATTTTTCCCATAGCCTCACTAGATTTTGTATAGATGCAATCCCATATAACACAAGTATATTATTTATTTGAATTTACATGAATTTATGTGATGATCTCATAACCAGAATGTTGATATACACTTTGCATATTTATTGCATTATTTTTTCTAAATGTAAATTAAAGTGGAATTCTTGGTTCAAAATAACACCAAGATTTCGAACTAAAGTATAGTATTCCATTTAATCACTTATATGTTTTTGTGAAAGGTATGTAAGACACTGTCATACCTAATTGAAGTTTATTTTTTAGGCAATTTGTTTTATTTCCTTAATAATTTTAAGCTCTCCTTTACTCATTCAATAATGTTTATTATAGGTCAAGCCTTAAGATCATCAACATATAACAAAAATTTTGAATGCTTAAAACATTCACATAAATGATTTACAAAGAGGACAAAAAACAATGGACCAAGGATAGATCCTTGTAGAACACCAGATGTTAATGTTATTATTTTGGAGCAGCAGCCATTTAAAACAATTCTCTGTTTCCTGTTTAAATTGTATGAAGGAAATCACCTAAATAAACTACCTCTTTTTTTTTGAAGGTAGTTCATGGTAAACTTTGGAAAATGCTTTCTGGTTTAAGTTATCTGTTTATATTAAATTCTGCATGTTACAAAAAACTCACCAGCTAAAAGGCCGAGTTGCTTAATTTATTTTAAGAGCCATGTTGCTTTGGCTTGAGGGTATTATGATGACTACCTCGTTAGTCAATTTTTCCCGGGTTGGAATCCCGGGCCAAGAAAAAGTTACTGTGTTCTTCCAGTGAGGGAATAGAGATTTGAATTTGCTTGCGCACACACTCATGCACTAAAATCCTGTCCTACCAGATATTGTCTTAGCAGATTACTAAATTCAGATTTAGGAATTTAAAGATTTCTTTATGTATTATTATTTCACAAAGTTATGAGACAGCACAAAAAATTAAATTAAAATTAAATGGACATAATGTTTTAGTGTGGACTTCGTGTTTTATTATATTTATATGGAACACCTCAAAAGTGTATGTTTGATCCTTTAGCTGATACATATGTAGTTGCAAAACCAAACTGTATATCCCGATTCTGTAATCATCAATTTTTTGAATTACTTCCCACTATGGAAGCGAATTTAAAGACATATTCTAGTCAAAAAAATTACTAGAGAATTGGAAACCTCTTACTTTTTGGAAGTCAGCTAAAGAGAGGATACCTGCGAAGTTTCTTTTACCGTTATTTATAGTGAGAAGAAACTCATTTAAAAACGGTAGAAGATATAAAAAAATGACATTATGAAATAATATTATACATACTGCTGACAATTTTTCCTGTTCCAGCTTGCTTATACCAATTTTAGCCTTTTCAATTATTTTCTCCAGTGGCTCCATTTTACTTCTATGGGAGTTCACCAATTTAACAGCTTCCTTCTTATCATTTGTATACTCTACAACTTTTTCTCGTAGGTCCTGATATTCAATCCAAAGTTTCTTTTTCTCACAAATTTCAATTTCTTTTTCAATTGCTTTTCGTTGATTCATTCCGTCAATCACAATTTTTAATCTGTAAACAACAGTTAATTCCTTATTACTTTCATCTTACCAAATCTAATCAGTAATCACATGTAGGACTTAAAAAAAACACACACTAGGCATTATTTCTATATTATGGAGTTGTTTTACATACAACATACATGGTAGAGCCATGTTGCAGCTATATTAGTAGTATAGTTGTAGCACAAATGGGTCGGCTAGACCGGGGAAAGACCACACTCTTACAGAATACCAGCGTAAAATAGCAGTTTAGCGCTGCTGTTTCATATGATAAGTGTAGAAAACCGGAGATCCTTTTTACTAGAAAGGAGGCATTCTACCTTAGTCCTCACGGGAGACAACGCATCTGCATTTTGATTCGTAATCGAGGATAGTTGTAGATATCTATGGGCTATAACAACCATTTACCATCAGGTGGGATGTGCACTTGTTTGTTACCCGAATCCTATAAAAAATAATGCAAATGGACAAACGTCTTGACCTGAACAATTTTAAGTATTTCGCTATTATTATTTTTTTTTAAATATAACCCAGAAGGGTATAGAGAGCCAGTATAATGACAGGCTGTGAGGCATTTAGTTTTAGTACTCTGAAGCAATAACAAATCTGTTTCTTTCTTTTTGTTTCAAGTTAGATATGCCTACAGAGACCTTGCAAGCAAGCAGGAAGTCACCTATAATATAGCATCGCAGGCTAAGCAAATAACAGCGCGTGACTTAAGAGTAATCAACACAGCGCCATCAGGAAGTCACCTACCGCCCCCTAAACAAAACCCAGCATGTTACGAGTACAACATAGTATATAAACCAAAGCATAATTGTTAAGACAGCCCAGTAGTAATTAAGTTAGTTTGTAAGTTAACTAGTCTAGTAATTCTGTATACTTACATCGTCACAGTAGTTAAGTTTACTTGTAAGTTAGAAAATAAAGTAATATAGGAAAGTCTTCCTCTCCTTCCACTTCAACCCTACCCAAGCTGCCGCAAACGTAACTAGTTGGTTACTGATGTGGCCTGGTATACCCACTTATAATAAGATGGAGTAGTAGCTCATTAGTCACTTAAGTTTAATAAAAAAAAGTGGCATATTACACAAGATGACATACTACTATTGCATACTATTGCAGGAAATTAAGTCTTTCAGTTTTCGCTTTTTTACCCCTTATGTTACCCACGGTTTAACCTTATTATCCACTAGTTGACATATGTATATGATATTTAAATTTTTCACCTATATCAAAATTGGTTTTTTTACATTTTATGAAAACAATGTACTCAGTATACACCGGGTGAAGGAATTGTGACTTTGTTCTATTCAATAATTTTTACCTTTCATTAAGTCTTATTTGCTCCTGTAATAGCTGGGCGTTATTCTGCAACTTAGTCGACAAACCCCTCTGCTTATTTCGGCTTTCAATCAATTCGTCCAGTTGTGAGACACTCTGCTGCCCACCAACTGCAGCTAAAGTGCTACGAAGCAGCTGTTGTGGATCCATTTTGGAAAAGTCCTGCACCCGGTCTTGGGGAAGAAGCTGACACAGATTGTCCACCTGTATCATTTTTTTATAATGTATTAGGCATTACAAAAGAAAAGTAGTATATTGTATTTTATATATTAGTAGTAACAAAAGTCAACACTGTAGCTGTGATTTGTGGCATTCATTGGGGGAGGCCTGTTTGGCAGTGGACTTGTGATGGGCTGTAAATAATGGTGTATAGGCAAAGAGCTGTTTTATCTTTATCTGTGTTGGTGTTTTTAATGGTCCAAGTCTACACTAAGAATATACTATTCTATCTGGTAGAGCCACAGTGTGGTAATTATGGTTGTAGCATGAATGGGTCGGCTCGACCGGAGAAGGACCACACTTTCACAGAATACCAGCATAAAATAGCAACTTAATGCTGCTGTGTTTCGTATGTTGAGTGTAGAGAACCGGAGACCCATTTTACTGGAATTGAGGCATTCCATCTTAGTCATCAGGGGTGACAACGCATCTGTATTTTGGTTGAGGTTAAATGTAGATGTCTATGGGCCACAGCATCCACTTACCATCAGGTGGACTGTGTGCTAGTTTGTAACCATATTCTATAAAAAAATTGAATTGTTTTTTGCACTATATGTAAACAACTACTATAAATAGATTACCTTTAAATGTTATGGACAAAAACTATGATTTTGAGGATTGGTAAAACATGGCATTAATAAAGTAATTGTGGATCTTAATATGAAGAAGTTCCAAAAAATAACTTTTAATTGTTTGTCAACAATATTATTGATTTGTAGCAGATCTGGCAGATATAGTTTTCCCACTTTTAACGAGTGGTGTGATGAGTTTCACTGCAAATGTTCACTCTGGACTTATTACAGTGTAAATATTAAATTTATATAATAACATGACCACAGGTGCCACTTAACAGGTTCAGATTTTATAATTTTCTTCTTTAACTCTAAACTAACATAATATTGCAATTAAGAGTAATTTTCGTCCATTTATATAGAATTTATTTATAACTTGACTACAGCGCAACCTATCAGGTTCTATCATAACAATGAATAATTGTCACAACAAAGTAAATTGTGTGAATGTAATCTCAATTTGTCAAATTGTCCAGAAATTAAACATGATGACTTACAGGTACATCAGAAATTGCGAAATGAAATGAAGAATGTAATTACAAATTGTTCAGTAAGGGTTATCAATTATTATACTACTAAAGAGTAAATGATTGATAATAGCCCCTGGAAATGAGGTGGTCGTTACCATGCTGTTACTAAATGTTTTCATACTAATTGTATAAAATAATATAACTTAAACTAATTTTATTTTATATATCCCGCTGGCTTTCTTGCTGGTTCTTCTCAGGACAGAGGGTTTCTTTCTGAAACAGTATATTGTATTCTATTTATAAATAAAATTACCTGTATATTTAAAGAGGCTATTAGCTCCTGCACCTGTTTCTCTCTAACAGTTTTATGATCAATTGCCCAATTGGAAACATCCTTGAGATTGAAGGTCCTTGTGATAATGACGTTCCGTTTCCCAGGTTGCTGGTATAGTTCTATCTCTATAGTTGATTCTTCACAACCACTTCTAACATATTCCGATATCTAGGAAATATAAATTATATATATATGAGTGATATATATATACCACTGAATGATATCATCCTGTGGGTGTAGCAAGAGGGAACTAGTGAAATAGGTAAATTAAACACATGGACAAACAACATATCTCTTCCTGATAACAACTCAACAGTGGGGTTGTCAAGCATTACTATGGCAAGTATTACCCTATGAGGCAATGTATGTATGGGGGAGGGGAGGGGGGGCTCATGTTCAGTAGTAGACTTCCGATAGGCTATAATGGATTGATGATATTACGTAAGATTTAACTTATACTTTAAAACGCAATAAATTGTTTTTAACAATGATTCAGAACCATTAGTGAGAATATTTTTTTTATTTAAAAAACGTGTACAGAAATTTTCAACAATAAACTAGTTCTCATTTATGTTTCTTATGTTATGTTACATTGTTTGTGGCAAACATAGGGAACAACATTGTGGGAGCTGGCTAGTTTAAAACACAAAATCACTACACTTTTTTGTAGGTTAGCAACTGCATATTTTTCAAATCTATTACCAAGAAGACGTTGCTGCTCCTCCGGTTTGTTTCCCGCCGTCGCCTCTGAAGACCCCCATGATACATGGGGTAGTCTACCAATTCTACCATTGGCATGGTAGATTTGGCAAAGTCTAACAGTGGTGATTAAAACTACTTTTACGGATTTTATCGCGTTTATTTTTACTTTTCATTTACTTTTATTTTTATTTTTAATTCCCGACGTTTCGGGCGCTTTCCAGCACCCATGGTCACGGGGGACTGAGATGACTGACATCCCGATGTCATTGTTAAATCCGGAGTACCTTCAGCTTTTTTAATTATTGTTTATGGTCCGATCTATGCAAAATGAACTGACTATGTCCTGAGGTCTTGCAGTGGTATGCTTGGGTTTAGTTTTAATTTTATTGATTATAGGATCCCAAGCAGGTGGTAGACCCAGCCCCTTCTACTATTGAAATTAGGATGTTTTGATGAAACTACTTATCGAAAGGTCATAACAGACCCTACAACTAATACGCTTAAAACAACTAGCGATCCATAATTAAGAAATACTCCGAAAAATTGAATCTGGATGTTAATTCGATAATACCTGCCAAACCACCGAAGTTGTATGGGTTACCAAAGATACACAAACCGAATGCTCCATTACGTCCAATAGTGAGTCAGATTGATTCGCCAACTTACAGATTGGCTCAATACTTAGCTAAAATATTATCACCACTCAGAGGACACACAAGAGCACACACTAAGGATTCATACCATTGATGTTACATCATTAACAGTTTTATTTTCAGGCATAAACTGTTGACTGATTAAATTTAAAATGAACTGAACAGGATTGTGTTTTTTGCTTGGACCGTCTTCTCTTCCTATTACAAGACTGCCAAAACATTATTGTACATTGCTCTGTTGCAATTACTTTTTTAACTAATTATTAGTATGACGACTGTCAGTCCAATGATTTTATTTGTGTAAAAAACTACTTCAGTAACCTAAGGCCAGCAAATGAAAAAAACTGACATACTTATGACTGAATAATTATTTTCTATCTCTTCTTATGATGCATATAACAAATATGGGCACATTTTAAAATTATATATAGGTCAAACATGTAATATATTATTTTAACCAATTAGCTTTTACTTAGTAAAATAATTTTTAAAATTGGATCAGTAGTTCTTAAGATTATTCTACAAACAAGAAACTAAAAGTATTGTTAGTAATATGTATATTAGCATGAATGTAATTGAAATGACAAATTGAAGTGCTTTTTTAGTATTAATTATAAAAAGATTGTTTTTGAAAGACTGTAGACAAAATGTACAGAAGACCAAAAAGTACAATCTGCCACTTTGTCTTGCGTACGTGAACTATGAGAAAGTCTAAGATTCCGTGGAAATTAGTGCGATGTCCCTTCAGCGGTGCCAAATTAACTGTCGTTATATCGAAGTGCTGTACAGTACAGCTGTAGTGTTTGTACAGTAAGGCTATGATGGCTATCCGAATACACAACCAGAGTACGAAACCGATTCAACTACAGAGAGGTGTAAGACGTTATATTATATATATTTTTAATAGAAGAGAGGGCAAACGAGCATATTATGTGCTAGTCGTTTTACATAGTGGTAGAGCCATGCTGCAGCTAGATTATGGTTGTAGCATGAATGGGTTGCTCGACCAGGGAAGTAGGCTTCTTGAAGAAGAATTATGATATCTATGGATCACAGCATCCACTTACCATCAGTGGACTGTGTGCTGTTATAAAATAAAAAAAACCCTTTGCTTCTCTTGTTCTGCTAACTCCAAATAACTAAGGCCAGTTAAATTCCCTGGTAATTAAAATGTGTATTATTTTTCCATTTAAAGTTCCAACCCAAAACTTCGTTTAAACTAAATAATTTAATATAATTTGCATATTATAGTCACTTATGTAAATTGTAATATTGTATAATTAGGTGCATCGCTGGTTGCTACGCGACCTATCAAGGAAACTAATATTTTTACACTTTCGACAATGTTTATTTTTGAGAACTTCAGGGTGAGAACATCAGAGCTAAGCTTGAAACCTTTACACTTTTTTTGGATGTCGGTTTGAGTTGTAAGTGAATTACAATAAATATATATTTTACTAAAAATTATATATAATAAAATGCAAATATGTCAATTTGTGTCAATCAATCTGCGAAATACATTGTCAACCATATAGACATATTATACTACTGCGTAATGGTCAACCATTTAATTTATATAAACCCTCATATGGATGTGGAAGAGGCGAGAGAGGTGTGTCAGGATCGTGCCAAATGGAAGTATGTAGTCTCTGCCTAACCCTCTGAGTGACAGGTGTGAGTGCTTATGCTATTCCATGCTATAAACTCTCATAGTCAAGTAGCACTGCTAGCGCTGAGGTCAGACTTATTGAACTCAAAGCTAGTTGGAGACTATGTGAACCATGTAAACGCACTGGGATGTAACAGAAGGATTGTCCTAAGATAAACTCTGGGTCACGTGGGTATTGTAGGCAGTCAACTTGCTGACAAACTAGCATGGGAGTGCTCAAATAGTACAACAATTTGGACTTGAGCCATTTTGCGGAATCTCAAAAAGGCTAGCCTGATTCACCCTTGAAACTTGTTATCACAACAAATCATTTAAGATCTGGACTGACACCTGGCTTAAAATATTTTAAAACCTTAATCCAGGCTTTTGATCGTAAATTTGCTTCAGAAGCAACTCAAGCCTGTTCCAATCAATCAATTTAAAAAGCATCAATTTAAGAGTGTTATCAAGAAGCATTAACGCTTTTTGAGGAAAATTACAATCTTTCAACCATTTTCAGAATCAAATTTTTCAATCAGAATCGAAACAACACCCTATGTGTCGAGTACAATATTGGTGGAGCGTAAAGTTATTACTTGTTCAATGTTGCCTCAATCAAAAATATTCAACAATATTTTTTTGACAATCTTTTTTTGACAATAGACCATGCAGGATAACAGGGGGTGCCGGATTAGAGAGGGGCCAGAATAGCGGGGGTCCACTGGATAGATGCTTTTAGGTCACAGTGATACTGGTCTCTTTTCCTAGACCTGAATAGCTGCTGCACATAATTAAAAAAAAGAGTGACAAAGCAAATTTATGTAAACAGAAGTGAACAGAAGAGTTGGGATGGGATGCCCTAGACAAAAGTGTAGTATTTCTGACTTTATAGACATGATAGGTTGAATCTGTACTAATAGCAAATCAGCACACCCAACTCCACATAGTATTATCTTCACTACTCTTACGCCGGCAACACACGTTGGCCAAGCCTCAGCCAACGCGAGCGTAGGCAAATTGATACAAGGCGAGTGCTACAGTCTACATGTTGGTGAAGTTCGAAAGAGACCAATTCCAAGGCCAATGTTCACGAGTTTTTGTGGAGCTATCTACATGTTGGCCGTAATTAGTTGTCATTGATAATTGGGACGATATGGACGACGTAGAAATTATTGCCGCATCTGCAATTTATTTAATGAGTGCATATAATTATTATATCAGTGTACTCCGTAGTAAAGTCTTTGGGGTTCCAAATAACGGGTTCATTTTTGTATATTTCAAAAAACTTAAAGGTGTCCTCGTTAGTACAGAGTGACATTGTCGAATTTATTTAAACACAGAGTACTTTTTTATACAGGATTTTAAAGTTGCAATTTAATTAAACAATATATCACCGGTACGGACGCCTGACATGGCCGTCAACATGTGGACACGACTTGCCGAGCATAAGCAAGCGCCTTTGATTTGTGGAGAAAAACCAACATCGTTCCGAAGTGAACGAGCCGTAGCGAGCGATCCTGAGTGACGGCAAGGCACGCCAAACGAACCGTATACACGTTGGCGCTCGCCTGCACTCGGCCAGCTAGGCGAGTGTCGACGAGTAATAGCCAGGCTAGACCAATGGGGTGTCTATACGTTGGTACTCGCCTTCGCTCGGCCAACATGTATAGCCGGCTTTAGAGTATTTTTGTAATACCGTAGACAAGGAAACGCCATCCCTTAGTAGTAAAAATAAAAAAATCATTACATATTTTAACAACTCATATTTTTTGTAAAATCATTACTCATAAAATATACTTTTCTACAAGGGGGTAAGGGTAGGGGGGTTACCAGCACCCCCACCGTACGCAAGTAACAGATGTCTATAATTTGACCAGTGTAAGGTCTAGTACACAATACTAAATGATTATCTACCAAATACTTATTCTTTCCCAATCTAACTTTTTTCAATTCAAAGTATAGCGCATTTATACGAAAGAAAGAAGACGAAAAAACATAAAGAAACGATTATTTACTAACCTTTTTAGCCCGTCCAATAACACTAGTTTTCCCACATAGGCCCAATATGATAGCGCAAACAAAAGTTGATTTTCCAGTTCCATTCGGTCCTATAATCAGATTTAATGATTGACTGGGATAGAACTCGACTTGTTTGTAAGTTCTGTAAAAGATAAAACCAGTGAAAACTTCTAACAATTCAATAAACATTTGGCGCGTAAAAATGTAATATACTAACACAAAGTTTTCAAGAGCTATCCTATAAATACACCCTGCTTTTACCCCATCTTTGTTAAATACTTTAGACATTATTGTTGACGATTTTATATCTTTTTATAATAGAAACATTTTACAAGATTTTAAATTTTTGAGGACACTATTTATAAGTAACAAAACTGACAACCACTGACTGACAAGTGACAACTACTGACAAGTTGAAGTTAGTGTTGACGCATGAAAAAAAAAGATGCAATAAACACTTACCAAAATTGCGCTATATTTTACAAAAATTTGCTTAAAATCCACAAAATTCCACTAAATTGTATCATGTGAATCTTTTAAGGACATAAGAAAAAATTTTGCGATTATTTAAAGACATCTTCCTTTATTTAAGTTATATGAGTTACTAAAATCAACTAAATTAGACAATCCCACTACGCCTTCATGGTCATCTTCACCTCCAATGCCGATATTGAGCTTACACCTGCTCCTATTCTTTTAATAAAAATATTAATTACTTCGCAACCTTCCGCTAACTAAATATAATGATGTATCTTACCTGGATTGAAGAGCACCTGACGCCCTCCTTCAATTGCATGCACTGACTCCGTCACCACTAGTCCCAGCACCACTACTTCCAATGCCACTACTCCAGGTAAGACACACCATCGACGATTAAAGGTGGGCGAAACTGTTATATTTTTCTAATTCGTTATGTTGTTGTAATATATTTCTCTAACTGTTGTTTTAAACTGTTATAACATATTATAACAGTTTCAAATACTACATTGTACACGCGGTTAGTTCAGTTCAGTTGTTGGCTATGTTAGCATTTTTTTGTATGTTGTTATAACGATTATAAATATTTAACGATTATAAGTATTATATGAAGACAAAAAAAATATTTTTAAGTTGTGTTAGCATCATTTGAGTGTTTCATGTTTTAAAAGAGAATCATTTAAAATATGTATGTTAAGTTTAATGAACTTCCCTTCCTACTTTTTACAGGCTTAGGACTGTCTGAATGTATGTTAAGCTGTGTAATTATTGTATCTGTTATAATTATTTACTCATATTTTCAAACATTTAATAAATATAACTCATTCAGGCGTGGTTAGAAGTTTATGGATGTTATGTACATTTTGATTGAATTTTTACATTATTTAAACTGTGGTCAAAGTTTTAGTTATCTACAATTATTTACATTTTTTTTCAGTTACATTATTTTTATTATTATATTATTATTATTCAAAAACATTATTTGGTTTACTTTTGACGACGTAAGCCTTGTGAGTCTATCCGATATTAAATCCGAACGGCAAAACTCTTCATACACTCCTACGTGTCTTTGCTTAAGGTGAAGTTTTAAATCTGTAATTGTACTTTTGAAAGATAAAGTTTTTTTAATTGCACACTGCTTTTTTTTTCGTCCACACTTTGGACTTAGACTTAAAATAGTTCCAAATGGCTGCGCTATGCTGACGCGACATTATTATACACTTTTACATACCACACGCTAAATCCTATCAATATTACACTAAATATTTAAAATTACTTTAGGAATGAAACTTAACGAAAAATAAACAAAAACAACAATAGCTTTTTCACGTAATATGGGGACCTGCTATCAAAACATTACGTATATAATTTAACAGATAACATTGTCATTGTCATCTCAGCTAGACAGCTAACTGAACACTAATATATTACAACAGCCAAAAAATTAAATAACAGGCACAACAGGCAACAGCTAGCAATGAAAGAAATAATATATTTTTGTTTACCGTTATAATTTAGTGTTAGTAAAATAAGCTCTTATTAAGTTAGCTTAGGGTTTAAATTAGTGTAAGCTATCCTATATACGCAATCCTTGTGGCATAATGAATGTAGTATTTTATTGTCTCCCATTGTGGTGCCGCGTCTCGGCCGACGGCTGGACCGTAAACGTAAACAGATGACGTTTTCTAACGATAATGAATATATTATAACAGTCAATGGTTCATTATTCTAATGTGTTGTAAGATAATAAATATATAATGAAATATATTATCTGTTGTATGTTATAACGCCCTACTTTATCGACGATAATACGACACGTGTTTCGCGTCTACACGAGGCATCCTCAGGTGATGTTGACTCTACGGCGGCTGACCGCTAATGGAGCGGAGAGCCGAAACAGCTGCTATTTATATACGCCGACACAACTGTTCCCCACCAAAGTAGCGAGTGACCGCGTCGTGCGATAACAAACCTGCACCTAAATATCATTATTGTTATGATTAATATTTTTTTTAACATATACATAAACACTCACGCCTGTCACCCAGAGGGGTAGGCAGAGACTACAGACTTCCATTTAGCACGATCCTGACATACCTTTCTCGCCTCTTCCACATCCATATACCTACGCATACATGCTCGTCGGTTAAGGGTACTCTTAATTTGGCCCATTTTTAGTATATCGCCAATTTGGTCGACAAACTTCCGCCTAGGACGTCCCTTTCCGACTCCTCCATTCACTTCTGCAACATATATTTGCTTTGTCAGTCTTTCCGCATTCATTCTTTCTACATGACCAAACCACCGAAGCATTCCTTTCTTAATCCTGGTCACCGCATCATCTTGCAAACCACACTCTTCTTTTATCACACAGTTTCTCACCCTGTCACTCAGATTCAGCCCTAACATACTCCTTAGCGACCGCATTTCTACTGCATTTATTCTACTCTCGTGCTTCTTCTGCCACACCCAACTTTCACTACCATACGTTAAAGTAGGGACTAATACAGCACTGTGAATTGCCATACGTACCTTTTTTGACACATTCTGACTTTTCACAATAGAGTGTAGAGCCCCATTTACTTTTTATTTTTTTAAAATATTATAATTATTATTATTGTTTTTATTGAAATTATTATAGTTATTTATTATTATTCATTTTAAAATTATTATTAAAGGTTAGCCTTAAAGATGTTTAACAAAGGTAAATTAGAAACATTTGTTTGTTCATTCAGCAGTGCATTGTTACCATTATTATTTTTTTAAATCTCCAAATTTTCCAGCACACACAGTCGCAGCCCTTTATTACAAGTATGTAAGACTTCAAAGGTGGCTGGCTAGGCTGTGTCCAGTGTTCAAGAGATGTTTATCAAAATGGGATTTATCAGGATTGCAATTTCTGTACGCGGCCAAATGCTCTTTATAGCGCGTCCCGAAATTGCGACCAGTCTGACCCACGTAAACGGCATAGCATTCGTCACATACAAGTTTATAAACACCCGATTATTGACTAATATTTAACTTATCTTTATTATTACAAATATTCCCAAGCGAATTGTTTGTTTTGAATGCCATCTCATTGTATTTAGTTAGTGGAAGGTTGCGAAGTAGTTAATGTTTTTATTATAATGGATTTCCACAAAGTAACACCTGATTCTATCAATTATCCTATTCTATTTCGCAGTTTTAGCAATTTGTCGAGGACATTTTCAGGTAAGTGTTTATGTGTGGCAGCTTTGCTTAAGATTTTTTTTATTGAGGACGTATCAATATATTTGAGCTCATTATTTCAGTTGACATCCGCTTACGTAGCTTACTTTTGACAACGTTCATAAAGCCGAAAATCCGCTATACTTCGGCGTTTGAATATTGAAGTGACAGCATGCTGATAGCTAAGTCCACTAATACCCGAAAGCATCCCAGCCGCATTTTTGTATCTGGCGACTTGAGCCCAAAATTTCACTTTATCATCACCATTACCTTTTTGTTTAACCAATTAAATTCCATTCCATTTGCTCTCTACTCAAATCAATATTTCCGGCTATAAGCCTTCTTCCTCGGTGGCAATTTCTTTTAAAATTTTCACGAAACAAACAAAACTGAGCTAAAAAACTAACATGAAACTCGAACGTGGGAAAAACCAGTTCTTCTCAAGTACTAAAGCTTAGAGGATTAAAATAATGAAAAGCAAACCAGCTACATACAATAATGCAAAAAGGAGATAAAACAATTAACGCATCAGCAACATTTTGGTCGGAGAATATCCAAACAATCACTAACGATGGACTCGCTAGTATTTTTTTATCACACTGTGCTGCCAACTAATATCAAATTTTCCGCCAGATTCCACTAGATATTTTTTAGCGCTTAGAAATTCATAAAAGCGCTATAGACCCTAGAACTAAACTAGATCTAGCGCCAAATGCGCTAAAACGGCAACACTGTTTGAAGTGTCAGCCGACAATTGATTACTGATAAGCAGTGTTGCCATATCAGATTATTGAAAATGCATTGCTGTCCACATAAAAATACGGTGTTTGGGAGAAAAATACAGTGTTTGATGAAAAATCAGTGTATTTTACAGTGCAATTAAATGACATGTAAAAAAGGAAAAATTATTTTATTAAGTAAAATACTAAATTTAGTTAAATATCCTCAAAGTCTTAAATCTTTATACAAAAAATTGTTTAGTCACTGTCACTAAAAAGTAAAAAGATTTCAGCTCCAATAAAGGCCTGTTTTGCCAACATAATATTGCCCTTAATTGTTTCAGAAATTAATCTGTTTCTATTCTTAGTTTTTGTGTCAATTATGTGGTTCAACCACTGACCTCTAGCCGTAGACAGAGAATGCTATAGACACCAGCAAAGCGTGTCGCCATGTAGGTTAGAGACAAGGAGAACGATCACTACCTGCTAAAGCATAGCCCGCCTGTCCCTGAAATGCCGTTGGTAAGTAGTACCTGCAAAATTAAATATACGCGATAAATTCCGTAAAAATTAGTATTATTTCAAAGTACCTGCAAAGTTAGCTGTATGAGTACGATTAAAAATAGATGAGTTAGTTTAATAATGTACAAATCTTCTTCGCAGCATTGGTGAGAAAATAATCGTGCTCCGTAATTTTTTAATTTTTGACTAAAAGATACATTAAAAAATGGTAAAATATTGTTTTGTGCGTGGATGTGCAAGTGGTTTAGCATCTGATCGAAAAAATAGACTGAAAATGACTTTTATGGAGACAACTTAGCGATCGCAGCGTCTCTTTTATTTTGTCCATATTTCTCATGGATTTAGTATTTATACTAAATC